ATAAGGGTTGAATTAGAGTGGCCCAGTCCACGGATTAGGTGACTGCCAAAGAGCTCAACTGGTATCCAGTCCAGGACCTTCTTTGTGAAGGTCAGGCTTGATGGATTCTCCAGAACTTGTGATGCTGGATACTTTGACCCTGTTCCCACACAGTGCCGCCCTGCCACGTCGAAACCTTTGATCCAATTTCTCTGTTTCTTGCAAACAATATTATAAGTGGTGGGAGTGGCTCTCCATTCAGTGGAGCTTCTCGATGTTGAACTTTGTGCAAAATCTCCGGTCCTTCCCACTCACTCTTTACTACTCTTATCCCTCCATTGGATAATTCATTGGGGGTTCATTTATTATTTAACAACCCAACAATCAATTGGTTTGATGCATCGTGGGACTTAGTGACCATGCAGACACCTAGCTAACAATCAGTAGACAGATTAAGTGTAACCGAGTGAGTAAATATAATTAAATGTTAAACTAAAGATCAAATCTATTAAACATTTACCTATAGTACAAAACAGCACAGTGCGTTCTTTATTATGTATTGGTATCTAGTGTTTATGGGGCATAAAATCAAAACAACGAGCTGAAAGACAGTAAAGCACTCGGTAGTGTTTCTGTAGAGTCGGATGATAATTCTCGATGGGTTCGTTACCACCAGCGACTTCTTTTACATGTTAATCATTTTATATATTGTTAACATTGATTAGTGCAGCTTCAAGTTGACCACCCAAGTTCAGAGAGAGAAAAAAAGGAGCGCTATTGTTACCGTTCATGTTTTATTTTCCTAATGAATTGTTCTGGTGAATGGGAAAGCAAGAATGCAAATTTGAGAAATCGGCCCATCTCTATCTTCCCCACTTTTCCATCCTCTACATTTCCCAAAACACAGCACCTATATCAGGGAGATCCCCCGGCCCAGTAGGTCATCTGTAACTGTTGAATTTTTTGTCCCTCTTTGTGCGACGCTCTCGTTAAGAGTATGTGACCATTTACACAACAAGGCGTGGGAGGTATAAAAGAAGCCTCCGCGGAGAGCCTCGGTGCTGCTTAATGGGAGCCCAGGCCGTGCCCTCAGTCCTGGAGCCTTTCACACATCTTGCTCCCTGCCTCTCCAATTACTTCCACTGTCCTGCGGCAACAAAGACCCAACTGACTGCCCTCTCCTTCCCAGACCCTATCAGTGCGGATCCACCTGAGATTTCCCCCTTGCTATCTCTCCAGCATCTATGGAAATGAAGTGTCTTGTGTAACCTTGTAAATGAGGCTGTACCTAATTAAAAAAAAAGGAGGTACACAGAGTATCCAAAGTGACTCATGTTAATTCTGTAACTCTACCTACCACAGAGCTTGAAAAGCAAGGCTTCAGACTGTGTGTGTGTTTTTGTTTTTTTGTCCATAAATGCCCCAGAGTGAGACTGCACTACTTTGGTGAGTTTGTGTGCTCAGGTGCCCTGAGCTTTAAACGCACTGAGTGAACTCTGGCAAGGTCTACACCACGACTGAGGCCTGATCCAAAGTGTCGATGTGAACCTTATTTTTTACACCTGCCAAAGTGCAAGCAATTCAAATTTTTAAGTTTTTAGAATTCATCACCAAATATATTCAAATGCTTCAGATGCTGAGTGAAACATGAGTAAGTCCTCAGTGTTCAAACGTCTTTGTTCCAAAAAAAAAAAAAAAACAGATAAAAGCCACAGTGTTTCCACCAAATTTTTTGACCAAAGACATTTTATCATCATTTGGCCCATTGCAGGTGTTAATGACAGATTCTGCCCAAAAGGCTTGACATTTATCCAGCATGAGAGCCTCTCTTTGTACAAAACATTCCTCTTCTCCTGCATTTTAAAACACGTCTGAAAGCGGTCTTTCTCTTTTGGTTTGTACCACTTCCCTCCATCATTTCCAGATCTCTGACCTTCTCTCTCCCCGTCTATATTTCTGTTTCCACTCCCTCTCTTCCTCAGATTCCTATGCTGTCCCTCCCCTCAACTTCCCTCTCCTCCCCACCTACCCCATTCCCCAAACACTGATCTCAGATTAAGTTGAACACTATCCCAGGTAAAGTTTGCACCTGCTTCCTAAGGCAAAAGCTCATTCCACCGCTTCAAACGGGAGCTTTTCAACCTACACACTTCTCCAAGGACCTCACTATTTTAAACACCCACCACACACCTGAGGACTGTCGTTGCTACTACTGGTGATCCTGTGGAGTTGGAACTGAAGAAGATTCGAAGATCTCTTCTATCTGGACATCCAACTCCTCCGCATACCCTCTTCTACCCCTCTACCTCCACTGCCTCCTTTCACATCCCTCCATCACCACCACCACCACCACTCTGTGGATGGTCCTCTGCTGGATGGGACTCTGCTGTGAGGAGGTTGCCAGGTTAGACTAGTGTGGTGCTAGATGTCCGTCTTCTGAAGGCAGGTGAGTATATCATTTCCTCCTCTATGTGATTTCATGATTCAACAATGTGGCAAAAGGGAATCTGAACTTTTCTCATTAGATGCATCTTTTTTTTTTTCCTTTTTAAAGCTGCACACATTGACTTTTCCTATATGTCAGATATTTCAGGTCATTTGTTATGGTTTAGAAAATGTAAATCTGCGTGGCAACATTATCATTAATAATTAATTTTTCTGTTGTTGGTGATTCCAGTGTAGCATACAGGAGTGCCTAACATTTTGACATGATAAAGGGTCACAAACTCCTCAAATTAAAACGTATATGCTTATAAAAGTTGAAGTAACTTACATAGTCATAGAAAATAATAATAATAATAAAAATAACAGTAATTATAAATATTATTTTTCTTATTTCTTTCTTTTAATCATCTTGGGAACCTTTGGATCCCTAGCTCTAGGTTGTGAACCACTGATCTGATATTTCCATTCTTTCCACTGGTGTTAGAATTAAGCCTTTAATTAACTAATTCAATTAATGCCATTTCTTAGCTTTTAACATTGTGATTGTAATAAGTCGTAGCACAGTAACTGAGCACTGTTATGACTTCACCTGATTTTCAAGCCTCCAATGCAACAAAAAGTCAATAAAATAAATGTGCTTGAGCGAGTGAGTTGACCTCTGATAAAACATGAACATGTCTCTGTCTAGACAGAGTCAGATCTCTCTCTCTCTCTCTCTCTCTCTGAGATAAACACGTCAGAGTGTCTGCTTCATCTTTTATGTTCCATGGGGCTTTATCTTAATTGCCCCGCTAAAAGGCATCGAGTTAATGCCCGTCAGATAAGATGGTGAGCTACAAGAGTCAAAAGAGCGATTGTGTTAATCTTTCAGTTGACAGTGTATGATGAGAGGCTGCTGACATTACAGCGGACCTCTCTCAGCAGTGCCCACTAACCTTGGCACACCTGAACACAATTTACCATCAAGCTGAATAGAATTCGCACATTAATAGAAATGAGAGATTAGAAGGAAGAATTCAATTGGGCTCAAATACCTCATGTGTCAGTGGTATCAATGTCAGTTAGGTTGTGAGTGGATGTGGCTGTGTGGATGTTTATATACAGACTAGACTATTAAGAGACTATGAAGTGCAGTTTTTAAATACATCTTTCAAAAAACTTTCCTGAATCACTTTGGTTGATATTTCAAACAAAGATGGCGGCACCACTGTAGTTATTTAATTGAACTTTAATTGGCCAGTTCGAGTGTCCAGTCTCAGCCACACTTCGGTGATTACACTTAAATGTAACTGCACACCTGCTGTCTGACAAAATAATCTCAACTCAAGGGTCCACTTACTGGCTTCTTCAGGACTTTCACTGGCATCGAAAGTAACTTGAGGATAGATACACCAGTTATTCTCACTTCAATGTGTATTTATAGTATTTTGTTTTAGAAGATCTGTACATACATTACATACATGAAGCATTTACTGAACAATATCAAGTAAAAAACACAAACTTTAATTTCATCCTCAACCAAACTAATACAGCAGCAACAAATATTGGATTTTGACCCAGAAACTAAAGTTTATCTTCCAAAAGGAATGACATCCCCAAAGTGTAAAGAAAAGTTTTAACTAATTATTATTTTGATGAATTGACTCATATTTGAAACCTTCACAGTTAATTTCTCATCCAACTAAATTTGGGGAAAAACAAACAGTTGTAGTACGAAAGTTAGAACGGTTGTATTTAAAACGGTGGTTGATGCAATGCATGGTGGGATACTGATGGAGACTTCAAGTTATGACAGTTTCACAAGTCAAAAATAACACCTTCATAGACAACGGTGCAGATTGAGAAAGGCGGACTGTCTAATAAGGTCTTTGGTATTCCAGTATCCGCGGGTGATGAGGTTTTAAGTTTTGTGTAAAGTTTCATTCTCTTTCATTAAACAATTAAGTTTAAATGCCATATGGTGACTGTACAATCTGCAATCCGCAATCTTTGCAGATGGGAACCTTGCCAAACCAGGCACTGAACAGCCCCAAAGGGCCACTGCAAGGACCTCAGCAATTCAAACCTACTCTCTTAAAGCCATTAGTGCCCCAGTGTTTACACTCCTCTCCCTCCAGCCAACAAGGCATGGATGGTTCCCAAACAGAAGTGATAATGAGGTCCTAAGCCGCCTCGCCGCCGCAGACACAGAGACTCTGGAGCAGAGCGGGCTGCCTCGGTCACCTGCAGGGAACCAAGGCACAGAGAGGCCTGTAGTTCACTGTTGCCTGGGTCACATGGGACTGTAAGGCAAATGTGATCCTGACACATTGTTCCTGCATGCATAATAGGCCCTTTTCAGGGCTCCTCAGGGGAGACCTGGGAGCCTGATCTTAAAGAAGTAACGTGACGTTGCTTTGATGGCTCGCCCTCCTCTCTGCTTTTCCCTAACAGCCTTGTTTATGAGAAGTTGTCCTGTGACTCACGTCTGCCCGCGTTTCCATTAGCTTTAAGGAATATGCAAGACAGATAAAGTAATGTTAGTTTAATATGATCTCTCATCTCATTCTCTCTGTTGTTTGTTTGTTTTTTTTAGAATGGTCAGGCCAGGCTGTCCAGTCATCCTGCTCCACTTGTTCAGCATCTTTGCACAGACGGGCGGTATGACATGAATACTGATATCACCCAACACCCAGAACATGTCGAGCCAGACTCGACCACAATTTATCTTCATCTTTTAAGGTTGAGAACAGTCCATGTAATGAGCTCCTATGCATTATTCTCCTTTTAGCAAGTGCTCAGGATATCCTGTATCCATATGGACCCGGCCATAGGGATCTAGAGACGCCCAAGATGGATGATGGGAGTTCTCCTGAAATTACTTTGCTGATTCCCTTCGTGTTCTTCAATGTCCCCTACCGTTCCATCTACGTAAGCCTCGAACAAACGCTTATTATTAGACCGAAAGCTACAACCTATCAGTCTTAAAATAATGTATTGCAACATATAAAGTATACAGTATTGCATATTATGTTAAAAACACAACCCTGTCTTTTCTGTCCGCAGGTCAACAACAATGGTGTGATCTCCTTCAACGTGCAGGTTAGCCAGTTCACGCCGGAGGCTTTTCCTCTGAGTGACAGCAGGTCGTTCATTGCTCCGCTTTGGGCAGATGTGCACAACGGCATCCGCGGAGACGTCTACTACCGAGAGTCCACTGAACCGGAATTACTGGAGAGGGCGACACAAGACGTCCGGAAGTACTTCAAAAACACGCCCACCTTCACCGCCGCCTGGGTCTTTATTGCAACATGGCACCAAGTCACCTTCTACGGAGGAAGCCAGACAACCCCAGTAAAGTCACATAAAATATCTCTGTCATTTATTCTCTCAAAGTTAATTAAAGTTAATATCAGTTTTATCTCTGTGCGTCCCTCCCAGTACAAATTCTCTTTGGCTCAGTATCTAAATATTTTATAACACACCTTCAACCTATGACAGTAAAGGTTACTGCAGCATCTAGGGTTTGATATATATAATTTAATCCATCATTTCATGGTGTTGGGAGTTGTAATTGTTTAACTTTTGTTAGATGCAAACAGTGTCCGCCCGTTTCTAGTCTTTATGCTAAGCTAGGCTAAATACATCCCGAACCTACACTGCTTCTCTACTGGACCAGCGAAACTTTAAGTTTTTTTTTTTAGACATCTAAGTTGCATATGTTTTCATTACACCTTTTTTTGCAATTGAGCATCTGTTTGATTCCTCTCTTTTACTTGTTCAGTTTTATGTCTGTTTTCCTCTTTGTAAAACCATTTTAATTGTCTTGTTTTGATTAAAAGGTGAACACGTTCCAAACTATACTAATCTCAGATGGCGTCGCATCCTTCAGTATGTTCAACTATGGAGAAATCACATGGAGCACAGGAACAGCCAGTGGTGGTGATCCTTTAACTGGACTGGGTGGGACAACAGCTCAGGTATTCTCCCAGTGGCCTCAACATCATTTCATGAATGATAATAATAACGCTTGATAAACATTCGACCTCACGTTCCTCACACCTTTCCCCTTTTCAGTCAGGTTTTAATGGTGGAGACATCGGTCACTTCTTCAACCTGCCAGGATCACGGTCAAACGATGTAGTGAACATTGAACAGTCGACCAATGTGAATATTCCCGGGCGCTGGTTCTTCCGCGTCGACACTGAACTGATAGATCCCGCCAATGGCTGCAGCTACAATGGCAAGTTCAAACATCAACCACTGATGATGATCTTCAGTACAGCAACAACACAAGAACAGTCTATGAAATTTTGTTTCCTACATCCTCTCCAGGGCGTTACTACAGACGAGGGGAAATCTTCTGGTTGTCTGACCAGTGCTCACAGCGATGCCGCTGCCTTGACATCGACAACGAGGTTCAGTGCCAAGAAGCTCCGTGCGGGCAGCTGGAGACCTGCGAGCAGCAGGAAGGGGCCTTTTACTGCCAGCCCACCCGCACCAGCACTTGTGTGGTCTTCGGCGACCCTCATTACCACACCTTCGACGGCTTCCTCTACCACTTCCAGGGCACCTGCTCTTACCTGCTGGCCCGGCCCTGCTGGGAGGTGGCGGGGCTGCCCTACTTCAGTGTGGAGGCCAAAAATGAAAACCGTGGGGTCGCCTCTGTTTCCTGGCTCAGAGATGTCACAGTGGATGTGTACGGTCACAGAGTCATGTTACCCAAAGGCAGTTTGGGAACAGTCCAGGTGAGAATCTGTGGACTTACACTTTTCCAAATTAGCATAGATATGAAGTTTTCTACCGTCATCCATTGTTCACTTCCTGAATTTGCCTCTGTTCCTCTCTCCAGGTGGACGGCTTGATGAAGACCTTACCTGTCCAACTCCAGCTTGGTGCCGTCAGGGTGTATCAGTCTGGGGTTGCCGTCGCTTTAGAAACAGACTTTGGACTCTTGGTGACCTATGACGGCCAACACTATGCATCCATCTCCCTACCAAGCTCCTACTTCAACAACACTTGTGGCCTTTGCGGTAACTATAACGATGACCCTGCTGATGATCCTGTGCTACCTGACGGCTCTCTAGCGGAAAGCGTGGTGGAGCTGGGGGGAAGCTGGCGAGCAGAGGACACGGACTGGAGGTGTACGGATGGCTGTGCCCAGAACTGCAGCGTGTGTGACCCTCTTACAGAAGCCTTCTACTTTCGCTCAGACTACTGTGGGCTCATCAACAAAACTGATGGACCTTTTAGGGACTGCAGAGCTGTAGTGGACCCTACAGCCTTTGTGTATAGCTGCGTGTATGACATGTGCAGCAACAGGGACAACATCACCACACTCTGCCAGGCCATCCAGGCCTATGCTCTGGCCTGTCAGGCCCTGGGTGTCACGATACGACCCTGGAGATCCCGCACCTTCTGCGGTGAGATTCTATTTAATTCGGTTTTAAACACACATTAATTCATTTGTGTCATCTGACATCATTTCTTCTCTCCTCTTGGCTCTCAGCTTTGTCATGTCCAGAGTTCAGCCATTACCAAGTGTGCACCAGCGCCTGCCCAGCCTCCTGCTCGGACCTCACCGCTCCCCTGTACTGTGCCCACCCTTGCACCGAGGGCTGCCAGTGTGACCCGGGTTATGTTCTCAGCGGCAGCCGATGTGTACAGCGTGACGACTGTGGCTGTGAGCATAACGGCCTCTATTACCCTCTCAACGACACTTTCTGGGCAGGCTCCAGTGGTGAAGAAGGCGAATGCACCCTCCGCTGCTCCTGCGGGCCTGCTGGGGAAGTCTCCTGCTTCAACGAGTCCTGTAAGGAGGGCGAGGTGTGCGTGGCGGAGGTGGGCCTGCTGGGTTGCTACCCTCGGAGGGAGGGAGTTTGCTCGGTGACCCAGAACTCGGTGACATCCTCCTTTGACGGCACCTTCCTGCTGTTCCCCGATGACAGCTCCTACTACCTGCTGAAGCTGTGCGGTGCAGTGCCGGCTAATGGCTCGACGGTGGAGGTGAAGATAGGCAGGCGGCTGGTCAACAAAGGCCCCGACTGGAAAAGACCCGTGGTAGTTAGAGTGTCTAACCTGGAAGCTCAGATCGGAGGGACAGATTTTGACACAGTGAAGGTTAGTATTTTTTTCTGCAGAGCAAAAACTCCCTTTTTAATTTCTATTTGCGGTTGATGAATGCCTATGGCCACTCCTTTTTTATTTGTGATCCAGGTGAATGGTGAACAAGTGCCGCTTCCGTATGTCCATCCGACGGAGACAATGATGATCTACAGAGCGCCAGGCAACGCTACAGTGGTGGAGTCCCGTGGTCTGCTGCGTGTCCACTACGCACGGCAGGGATTCCTCAACATCTCCCTCTCCACCCTCTTCTACAACGTCACCTGTGGTCTATGCGGCGTCTTCAACAGCAATGCCACTGACGACCTTCGCCTCCCTAGCGGACGCCTGGCGGACTCCGCTGAGCAGTTCACAGAGGGCTGGCGTGCCATCGCCGACGACCTCACCTGCAACGGCGATTGCGACGACCTGTATCGCATGTGCACGGACCTGCGTCTCTACCAGAGTCCCTGGATGTGTGGCAACATCAACGACCCAGGGAATAGTTCGTTTCTGGCGTGTCACGCAGTGGTCAACCCCTCGCCGTTCTTCAGGAACTGCTTGTATAACATGTGTGTAAAGGAAGGGAACCGTTCAGCCCTGTGCTCTTCACTGCAGGCGTATGCCAGCGCCTGTCAGGACGCTCAAGTCGGCCTCGCCTCCTGGAGGAGTGCCACCAACTGCCGTGAGTAGATATAGCTTTACTTTAAAGGAAAAAAACTGCTATTCTGACTCTTATTCTATGTTTTTCTGTTTGAACATGTTAGATATACAATTGCAATCTACCAGGACTGGTTTGAATTTGGTAGAAGACATTTTTCCAACAAAATTTGGCTAGCAGTTCCTGCTGCTATGCTAGCTGCGCAAACATGACTTTTTCTTTTTTAAACCAGTATTTTTATTTATATTTTTTTTCTCTTTTTTCTCTGCAGCAGTGTTTCCCAAACTGTTTCAGTCATTCTTCCCTTTTTGAAGCCAAAAAAAAAAACTTCCTTGTAAAAATAAATCTTCGTGCGTCGATTAGCATGTTTTGCTAGCCTGCTAGCATCAAAACGCTCTTATTTCTTTGTTGTTCCCAAATTAATCAAATTCATAGACATTTTCACAACAGACATATTGGTTCGGCATAGCAGGAAAAGCACCGGTGGAACAAATAATATTAATCAATATTGCATTGTTGCAGTTAATTATGTTATTAGCTAGACCTGCTTTTAGTTTAATTTCCCCACTAGTGATGGTGATTAACTAATATTAACCTCTTCTATAAAAGGTGTACTCCACCAACACTAGTCCTCGGGAGCTTGAAAGGTTGTAGCCTGCAGTTGTAGTCAGTCAACCCAGTTTTAAAATTCCCCAAGAGAATGTAAGAAAACTTACACAGCTAGCATCAAACAAAATCTTTGTATTTTAGCTTTAGCTATATTTTGACCCATAAACTGGGTCACATCTTTGGACTGTGGTGAGTCTAAAATGGCTGCAGCTTCTGCCAAAGAGTAAGTTAATAACTTTTCATTGGTTTAATATTCTTATATGGATTTGGTCTTCTCTATTTCTTTCTCTTACCTCGCTCTTCTGCCTCAGCTCTTCCCTGTCCCGAGAACAGTCATTTTGATGAGTGCACCAGCGCCTGCCCTCTGACCTGTGCCAACTTGGATGAACCTGAAGAGCCATGTCCTCTGCCCTGCCAAGAGGGGTGTCAGTGTGAGGAGGGCTTCGCGCTGCGGGATGGCCTGTGTGTGGCACGCAGTGACTGTGGCTGCATGAGCCACGGGCGCCAGCTGGCCACTAATCAGACTTTCTGGACAGACTGGGAATGCCAGGAGCGTTGCTACTGCAATGGCTCTGACAACAGTGTATACTGTCAGCTCGCACCCTGTCACCCTGAGGAGTACTGCCAGGAGAATGACGGCCTGTATTTCTGCCAGCCGCGCACCGAGGCTCTGTGTGTGGCCGCTGGTTATGGACATTTTCTGCCATTTGGTGACGTACCATTTGAGCTGCAGAGCTCTTGTACTCTCAGGATGGCCACCACCAACTGTGGCAGAGAGAGCGGGGACCATGCAGCCATCACTGGAACTTTTCCTCAATTCAAACTGGCAGCCCGTAATGAGGAAAGGGACACAGGCCAGGCAATTTGGGTGAGGGGCTTTGTACTGGAGGTCTACGATTATGAGATTGAAGTCTCTCGAACCTACAAAAACACGGTTACGGTAAGTGCACGAACAGGAAATTGTATTCATTTTCAAGAATAACTAATGTGGAACAAGCCAAACCGCCATATGCTGTGATTGGGCCAAGGAGGTTAACTTGGGTGAGGGAAGAACCTATTGAATTTGGGTGCTGATCCGGTTAAAAAGGGTTGATGCAGAATTTTCTTTCCAGAAGATAGGGCATTTTTTGACACTTTTCATCAAAGTCTCAGGAAATAATGTTTTGATCTTGATGTAGAACATGAGGCATATTTATGGTGTTGAGATCTATGACATTTCATAGTTCGGTGCAGATCCATATAATAATCTGGATCTGAGAGATGTGAAGGGTTGTTTGGCCTTGGCAGAAGTATGTGCTCCACTGAGTGCCATTTTAGTTAATATTTATAGTTTAACATTGATTTTTTAGTTTTTTAGTTTTTTTGCATGACCTGTGAAGGTCGAAGTTTTTTTTTTTTTTTTTTTATATGTGAGGACATGTTATTTCTAATCAAGCCGATAGAATAACCAGGCAGAGGGTAAATTCCTCTTTGATTGGCTTAAGGTGGATCTAATTTCAATGGGCATCTTTTATCAGGCTGGATTTGGATCAGACAAAACCCAGACCCTGAGCGACATTTGGACTGGGTTCACAAACCGCCTAAGAGATCTGAGCGGGAACAGAAATGACACACACTCACATTTTTTTCCAATTCTTTCTGCTTCTGTCTTTTTCTCTCACTTTCATTTTGATTATATAAGAAACACACAGGAACTCTTTCACTTTATGTTATTGAGTCCTACCCTGGGTTTCCCCTCATACTTTGAAAATATCCAGGATTAGAAAATATACACTGGCTCTAAAAATGCTTCTGTAGAAATGTGTGTGCGTCAGCTGATCGGGATCATAGAGTAAAGAGTTAAACCTGTTCAAACTAGAGCCATTTTCATTGAGTCTCTCCTCACTCAGGTGAATAAGGAGCGTTTGTACCTTCCTCTGAAGCTGGGCCCAGGAAAGGTCAACATCTTCACCTTGGGCTTGCAGCTCATTCTGGAGACAGACTTTGGCCTGAAGGTGGCCTTTGACTGGAACACGCTCCTCCTGTTGACTTTGCCCCGCGACCTCTACAACACCTCCTGTGGCCTCTGCCAAGGCATGCCCTTACCCCCCCCCACCCTCACCACCACTGACTGGGGCATGGCCTGGGCAGAGAGGGACACCTTCTGCCAGGTGGGGTGTGGAGACTCCTGCCCACGCTGTGGCCTGGGAGAGAAAAGCGTGCAAAACGACGCCCCCCTCGCGGTGGCTGACGCCAACATGAACATGGGCACTGACGACGGGGCGAACGAAGTCAACACAGGCATACGTTTCCACATCGGAGATGGACTGTATGTGTTTGTGGAGCCTGAGGCGGTGAGGCTGTGTGGGCTAATTGTGGATCGAGGAGGTGTGTTTGCACGCTGTCACAGCAAGGTGGCACCAGCCTTCTTTTATCAAAGCTGCCTGCAGGACACCTGCTTGGACCAGGGAGCTCAGGACACAGTCTGCAACTGGCTGCAGATCTATGCAAGCACCTGTCAGACCCAAGGAGTTCCTGTCACCGGCTGGAGGAGTGACACACCATGTGGTGAGTCTTGGCTCACTTTGATTGTGTGTGCAGTGGTCTCCCCTTGTTTTACAAGAAAATATATTTTCTCATTTACCTCTACGCCTGTGGCGTCTACCCATGTTGCCCAGGTTTTCAGATATCCATCTCTGAGATTCCTACATCCACCATAATACAGCGGAGGTGAATGGGATTATGTTTGTGGGGCTCACACTGTTGAAAAACAACATTAAACAGTCTGTCCAGAAAAAATGTCCTTAGTTGCTGTAACACATTAACACATTCTCTGGTAAAACACAATACAGTTACATTTTTTCAAATGTGATTTTTCAATGTAATGAGAATAAAAAACAATTTGATTAGACCTTATTAGATATATGTATATGTACTTTATTTAATTGAGATAAAGACCTCTTCTACAAGTGAGACCTGAGCACAGAAAATAAAATAATAAAAATAAAATAATAAGACATTAATAGCAGAGTTAAGTTGCATTTAAATAAACAATAATCAGCGTGTATATTTAAATAGGGAATAATCAATATGCTCATTGGTGAGCTTTAGAGGTTGTGGTATTTTTGAACTTTGGACAGAGCCAGTCTGTATGCCAAGCTAATCAGGTTCTGAGCCCAACAGCCTGCAGATATGAGACTTGGACAAATGAGTCTCCCTTCAAATATTGTCCACAAATATTTCCCCTTGAAAAATCAACACTTATTAACATTGGAACATTTCCTGTGTGTACACTGCAGTCAGTTCGATTGTTGTAGCTAATACCTTTGCCAACCTGCCTGCTCCCAGTCCAGAGCTGTCCACCTAACAGCCATTACTCCAGTTGCATGTCGGTTTGCCCGCCCCAGTGCGCCCCAGCCCGGGGCCAGAGGGACTGCAGCCAGGACTGTGTGGAGGGCTGCCAGTGTGACCAGGGCTACGTGCTCAACGGCAAGAGCTGCATCCTGCCTCAAAACTGTGGCTGCTACACCGATGGCAAGTACTATGAGGTCAGTGTCACATCCAGCAATATGTGGAGTAACCTGCAAGACAAGTGATTTTTAATTAAAGGTTTTCATTGGCCTGTCAGTCTCAGCACATATTGATCATAACTATCTTCTCGTTTCAATTAGTGCCGTTTAATTCCAGTGAAGTGTAGAGACGGTATGGAAGAACAAAAATAAAAGTTTTCTGATTCAGTCAGTGAAGGTAATCCTTGATGCCAAAATCATATTTTGCAAAGTTGCATCAGAGTCGTAGAAATAGGCAGTAATATGTTTTGAATAGAGCTGCAACTAATCATTATTTTTCATTACATATTATCTATATATCAGGCTGTAGAATGATAGGAAATACGGAAAATTATCCATCACAACATGATGCCATATATTGGTTGTTTTCCCCACTCAATGCTCCAAATTCTATAAATGCACTCAAAATGCAATACTTTTCTGCCAGTCAACTAATTAATTAATTGACTGACTCTAATTTTAACCAACCTTCTTTATTTCAGCCCAAGCAGCTGTTCTGGAACAGCGACTGTACCAAACGCTGCCAGTGCATCGGGCGAAACCTGATCCAGTGCGACCCGAGGCGCTGCAAGGCGGAGGAAGAGTGCACCCTGCGCTACGGAGTGCGGGGCTGCTTTGCGCGGCGCTCCCAGCACTGCGTGGCGTCGGGCGGCGGGGTGTTTAGAACCTTCGACGGGGCGTCGCTGCGGCTCCCGGCCTCTTGCTCCTTCGTCTTGTCCACCAACTGTCACAAGCTGCCGGACCTCTCCTTCCAGCTCATCGCTAACTTCGATAAATGGAGCACGCCCAACCTCACCACCATCTCTCACGTCTACCTTTACATCAATGAGGAGAATATACTCATCTCTGGCAGCACGATCAAGGTGAGTCCAAGTACAGGACCATGTCAGTTACTCATTATATCAGCCAAATATTAACCTTGATACAATTTCTATTATGCAGATTAAGTTATATTGATTCTTAAATTGATGAGGTTGTTATGTGCAACTCTTAACTTGACTTCACAAACAACAAACTTCCTCCAATGATACACTGTATATCATCTTATTTAAAGCTGCACTAATCAATATTTTATACAAACGCTGCATCGGTGACCTGCGGTGCCTAGCTGTGGCTTCTGTAGAGCCTTGCAGCGCCTTTCAGCTTGGTGTTTTGGTTTCATCACCTGCAGCTTTTCTCTTCTGGTTCACTCTGGTTTCATCAGGCAGCTGTTCTCAGTAGAAATAAAACCTCCTATAAACCAACTGCATCTTAACAGCTCAGCACCAAATGGTAGACAGACAGAGACGCCAACTGTAGCATTTAATGGATAAAGGGATATTGTTTTACTTTCTTCTTTTCAACATCACCAATCTTGCTCTAATAGAACTATTATCTCTATTAGGAGATTTAGTTTTTTTGTATATATTACCAACTGACTTTCCTCTGGCTTTGTGCCGTCTGCCGTCAAAGACGTCTTTTATCAAACATCTCCTCGAGAAACTAAACAAACAGATCCAGTTTAAATCTCCATTTTCTCTCCTGAATACTTGAAAGAGTTCTCGCAGTCCAATTTACCAATTACCCTCGCACTAATAGTCTGGTAGATATCCTCCAGCTCTGGCTTTAGGCCACATCATTCTGCTGAAAGTGCTCTCACAGAGCTAGTTAATAACCTGCTGATTGCCTCTAAAGTTGCCTCTGAGTCTTAATCCTGCTTGATCTGACTGAGCCTTTCTTTTTTTAAATTTCCTTAAGAACTGTGTTATCATCAGTGGAAGTGTGTTTAAGTGGCTCAGGTCATATTCACCAGCACACATAGTAATTACAGCACCATATCGGATCGTCACAATCTGTGCTTTGAGCTGTCTCCTTTCTTTTCTCTTACACGCTGCCACTCAGTGATGTCTTTTGTGAATATGAAATCAGTTAATACAGTCCCAAATCCCACATGTGTCTATTTGAGTTTTATAACAGTGTGTTTATTAGAGATCTAACAGGGAGGCGGACCTCTCCGGGGTCCAGACTGACCCCAAGCACAAGTCATATTGCTTCAATTTCTTGCGGCATATAAGTCAGAAGAAAAGAAAAAAGTATATTTAAAGTAAAACAAAAGAAAAGATTTTACAACTATTGTTCTGATTTTTACACAAACAGCCGTTGGGGTCTGTATAACACTAATTCTGTTCTCATTTTACTGACAGTCGGTGGTCAAACTTTAAGTGAGAGCTATGAAAGTCTGAATTTAACACGTAATGACGTGTGGAAATGAATTAAATTAAATTTCTTTGTGACCCTGTGTCCTGTCTCAAATATCTAAAGGTCTGTGTGTCTCCCCAGGTCAACGGTACACCGGTATCAGTGCCGTTTCTAACTGGGCTGATGACGCGTCTGTCCACGTCCGAAGGTTTCATTGTCATCGACACACCCCAGGACATCCAGGTTCGATACAACCGCTTTAACACGCTGAGCATCACTATGGGCCAGCGCCTTCAGAACAAGGTGTGTGGCCTCTGTGGGAATTTCAACGGAGACCCCAGCGACGACTACATCACCTCGAGGGGCAAGCCGGCTGTCAGCGCCCTGGAGCTGGCCCAGAGCTGGAAGACCAACGGTATGCAGAACAGGTGGGTGAGGCTCGGCACAGGCGCTGTTTATCGCTACACAGCGGCACATGCACTATTTGCAGATAGAAAGAGACGGTTATCCATCTTTTTGCTCTAGTTGTGACGAGACCCAGTACGTGGCTCTGGCCCAGTCTTGTGACAACACAGCGGTGCTGGCGCTGCAAGGTGAGGATGCCTGTCAGAAGCTCACCCAGCTGAAGGGCTTCTTCCAGCCGTGCCACGGCCTCCTGGATCCCCGGCCCTTCTACCAGTCCTGCTACCTGGACGGCTGCTATAATCACCGCAAGGCTCAGGTCTGCGGCTCGCTGGCGGCCTACGCCGAGGCCTGCCGCTCCATGGGCACCCTCACCACCAAGTGGATCACCCAAGAGAACTGCTGTAAGGGCACCGCGAGACACCAGCCACATTTTCAAAACTTTAAAATGTACTGATTTTGGTATGTGTGTGTTTTAACACTTCACCTTAACAAAAGTGAGGCCAGAAGTTTCCCTCAGTGCTTTTCTTCCTCCGGTCGCTCAGCGTGCTGTACATGCATGTTTGATAAAGCCTTGTGTGTGTGACAGTTAACATTGTGTGCGGACCTGTCTTTAGCAGAATGGATCTACGACCCCTGTGCAGGAGAGATCTGCACAAACTTCACCTGTGAGCTGGAGAACGGAGGTGACCTGTGCGGCTGTCCAGAACTACCCACCAGCACTGGAGGTGAGCGCTTCACGGGACACCACCGTGATGTCATCCACATCCAGCTTTAATCCCGTCTCTTCTGAAGTGAAGCATTCCTATAATAGTTTGACTTTTCAAATAGAGTCGCACTTATAATAATAATTGTAAATGCTGTTGATATTTGAGAGCTAAAGAAATCTGATAACTACATTGATTGATATTCATCTTTTAACGTAAACACGTGACAGAACCAAATATATTTGATCAAAATCAAAAAAGAATTGGTACCTAGATATGTGCTAAACATTTTACAGTTGATAAATACAATAATCTCTGCTACAATTTCTTGTTGTTTACTAGCTGACATATAACCCGACACTTACTGATCAGTGATGAGCTAAAATTGAGCAATCATATCGGCCATGTCAGTGTTTTAGTAGGGCTCTGTAGTTAAAATCACACTGCTGTCATTGTTATCTCATATTAGATAAATATAAATACTTAAAACATGTATTCAGTGTTTCCTTCAGCGTGTTCTCTAAACCACAGTATTGACTGTCCGTTGAGTAATGTTGCAGTAACGGTGATGTTTACCTGTGGCAGGTGATGATGACATCATACAGGCAGAGGTGACCTGCAAGCATGCTCAGATGGAGGTCTCTATCTCCAAGTGTAAGCTCTTCCAGCTGGGCTTTGAACGAGAGGACGTCAGGATCAACGACGAGCACTGCGCCGGCATCGAGGGAGAGGACTTCATCTCCTTCCACATCAACAACACGAAGGGACACTGCGGCTCCATCGTGCAGGTCAGTGGACCAACGTTAGCTCATCATATTCCTGCCTCAGGAGCGTCCACTGTGCTGTGTTCACTGCTTTGATTTCCAGCCGGGTCACTTGTGTCTTTGTGCACCTTTTATTGGTCTCCACTTTTAATGGGGATGTTTTTAAACTCATTACTGAAACATTACCGTGGTGCCACTGCCAAGAAAATTGCCGTTCTGCAACTCTGAATTTGGCATAAAACCTTCTTCTATCCTTTGTAGTCTGCTTCCAATCTCATGAGGTTACAGGTGTGGTCCCATCAAGTCTGTACAGAGACCAAAACCGCTGCTCACCAACCATAACCACAGACTCGCACTGTAGCCGGAGAGGCTGCACTGGGCGGATGGATAAACTATTATTACTTTATTATTTACCTTTTGCTTCTCTGTTTCCTGACGGTGAATGTTTCTCAATGTCCCTTCATCCCTCTGACAGTCGAATGGCACTCACATTATGTACAAAAACACAGTCTGGATAGAGAGTGTGAACAACACCGGGAACGTCATCACCAGAGACCGGACCATCAATGTGGAGTTTTCCTGCGCCTACGAACTGGACCTGAAGATCTCGCTGGAGACCGTCCTCAGACCCATGCTCAGGTCAGACACGGGGATTAGCTGTAGAATCATACGTTTATGTCTGATAAAACAAAATGTCACAGCTTTTAACAGCTGGCTGCTTCTCTCATCCTCTCCACCCCACCCCCCCCTCCGTGCTCCAGTGTGATTAACCTCACCTTACCGACCCAGGAAGGGAACTTCATCACCAAGATGGCTCTGTATAAGAACTCCTCGTACCGGCATCCGTACAGGGAGGGGGAGGTGGTGCTGAGCACACGGGACATCCTCTTCGTGGGCGTCTTTGTGGAAGGGGCAGATGAAAATCAGCTCATCCTCATAGTGAACATGTGCTGGGCCACGCCGTCCCGCTACAGCAGCGACCGACTGCGCTACATCATCATAGAGAGGGGGTAGGCTGGAGGACGCACACACTAATGATTCTTGGAGGCCGGAGGTGTGGGCGACGAAGTATTTGTTTTAGTCTGAGACACCTGAAAGAAGCAGCGACTAAGTTTTGCAAAATAAGAGTCACCATACTGAGGAAAAACATGAACACTCATCAGTGTATTCCTTTTGATATGTGGCTCTCACCAGGTGTCCGAACATTAAGGACAACACCATCGGCATGGCAGAGAACGGCGTATCCCTCACCTGTCGCTTCCACGTCACCGTCTTCAAGTTCATCGGGGACTACGACGAGGTCCACCTCCACTGCGACGTCACCCTGTGCGACTCAGAAACCAGCGCCTGCAAAGTGGTGAGAGGCTCGAGGAAAGACACAATCTGAACTCAAAAGTGGCGATGAAACAAATGTCTGGCTGTGTTAATGTGCGTGTGCTGTACATCCAGAACTGTCCACACAAGAGAAGGATGTACTCGGAGGACAGCGACCATAAAGAGCACATTCTGTCTGTGGGACCCATAAGAAGGAGAGGTAAGTGTGATCTCAACCATGAGTCCGTGTTTAAAAACACTTCTCAGAGCTATTCAGTCAAATTCCTCAGTTTCTTCCAGGACTTTTCATGACTCGCATGTCCTTGTCCTCTCAGAATCAGACTGGTGTGAGGACAACAACGGAGGCTGTGAGCAGATCTGCACCAGTAAGGGAAGCGGGCCAGTCTGCAGCTGTGTGACTGGGATGCTGCAACGAGACGGGAAAAGCTGCCGGAGTAAGCAGCACACACACACACACACACACACACACACACACACACACACACACACACACACACACACACACACAGGTGCACAGACCAGGGATTATAAGGTTCTATGTTTAGTATTTCTGTTTCAGTGAATCATAGAACGATGAGTAATATCAGCAGGAAATCGTCTTATTTTCAGAACATTTCCTTCTATAAATCAGGTTTAAATAATTTGACCAAAGTTACCATGGAAACGTATGCTACCAGTTTGCAGTGGCACCAGTCAGGCTAGTTTTCAGGTTTATCTCAGTTGGCCTGCTACACTGAACAGGCACACACCGTCTTCACTAAAGTTGTGCACAATTCCCAGGATCCAGTATTTTTATGGTAAAAGTACTGCATGTACGTCTGAACAGACCACTCCAGGGGAGTAACATTTTCTCCATTTTCTCTCATATTTGATGTAAATAATAATCAAGAACTTAAAAGACCTTGACATTGTGCGTCTTATTTGTTACAATTTGCTGTAAACCTCAAATTCACATTCTCACTAACCTGCAGCAAACGGCTTTAATGTGTCAACCTTCATATGTTTGTAATTCTTACTCCACTGTGTCCATGAACAGCCCCATTTTCTTTACATCTTCATTTATTTTTACCTTTCAAACCTTTATTTTCTCCGCTTCTGTTCTTCACCAACCTTCCCTCATGTTTATTGATAAAATAGTAACATAAGCTGGATATTTGATGCAGAGGAAGGAGGAATTCAGAGAACCTGCGTCACTGCACACTAAGCTGCAGAGCTAAAGTAACACAACTTCGATAGTGATAAGACGAACAAATTAACTATTTACCCTGAGAACTTTCCATTGCCATTGTGTGCGGGGCGTTGTGCGCCGGATGTTTGTCAGCTGCAGAGCTGTTCACTTTGGGTTTGGTTTCTTTATGGAGAGTTAAACTCTTTAATCAGGAGGGTGTGAGCGAGTGACGCTGCCAGAGCCCGGTTTAAAGATGAACACTGAGGCCCATATTCTTCACAGGGACCAGTATGACCACGCTATTCACTACTGGTTTACAATGAGTGAGTGAGAAGATGCTAAATAGTGCTAGTGTCATTGTCATGCATATGAGTGTAAATATCATTGGGTTTTGCCGCCTGCATAAAGGCATTCAACAAACGGACTGCTCTGTTCAGAGAGAGCTGCAGGAGTCATTGTCACCTGCAAGCCATTGAGCAGGGCGGAGTTCCCACAGCAGATCAGATAAGAGTCTAAAGCTGCTTCAGGCTGCAAAGGTGTGGACATCAACTTTTGTCAAAATTAAATAAATAGATAAAAAGGGAATAAACAGAATAAAAGCTATCATGGTATTATAGGTCTAACCTATAAGTGATCTCTGAGGCTGAGTAGCACACACACAGTCTGAGGGTTTATTGTTTATTATCAAAGCAACACAAACAAATATGGGGAAAAATTACAGCACAATTTAACAGTAGTTACAAACATGTAGCACAAAAATTTGGCATCCAGACAATTTAGTAAACAAAAACCATAAATGTCTGTTTATTAAATGTTAACTGCAGCATCCTCTACAGTTCATGTTGTCTTCTGTCCCCAGCTGTGAGCTCCAGCTGTAACGTTACACCTGTGGTTCCTCTGCTGATCGTCAGCGCCCTGATCTCCGTGCTCCTGCCTCGTGCTCGCGCTCCTCTCATCTCCTAACACCCCGTGAGCAAAGGAAGGCAACAGACGAAACAGATCAAACACATTAAAAAAAAAAGACTTGAAGATGCACAGTGTATCCGCAGTGTTTAGCCAGTAGATCAGCTGTGTGCCAGTGTGAAAACGTAGACAGAATACATACCTGCTTTTCCTAAACATGTGGACAGTCAGTCCTGCTGAAAGTCTTAAGTGTCTCCCCTTCCCTCCACGTCGTGATATTCTCCAGCTCCACTTCCTCCATTATTTACATAGGTGAGGACACCTCATCGTGTGTTGTCGGTCACTTAAAGCAGCTATGTGTAGATTTTGTACGTGATTCTAACATCCTTCAGATTGCTCTGATGGTTTGACGTGTGCCACAGTGTCTGGATGACGCCAAAGAAATTGTTCTAATCCTGCACGTAGTGGGTTTAAGGTTTATTTAATGCAAGAAAACTAAAACCAATGGTTCTTATTAGGGAGAGAGGACGGTTACATAACAAAAAAAAGTCAGCTACATGTAAGAAGAATGGGATGTGAACTGAGACAGCGGCGTGGAAGATAAATACTTTAATGGCGGTCCCGCTTTCCGACCTCCACCCTCTTTCTTTACATTCCTTACATTACTTTCTACATTGGAACTGAACATTGCTACTGAATGTACAGAACAATTATATAATGAACATAATTGCAAACAGCCAACGCGGCTTTGTCTGGATGATAACATCTGATCCCAGGTCTGTGCATTTACACCTGGTATCAACAAGCGTTAACTCATTATCTTGGTTGCGCCCGCATTGTGATTGGCTCTCAATATGCAGCTATTAGTTGGGTGCAGCGACTACAGAATGCATCAGATTAAAGGGTCCTCGTGAGGAGCGTCTCTCACGCAGACGGGGGGTTGTCACATGACGGCGACATCAGTTGGCTTAATGGGAACATTCCCGGGGCGTCTGCTGGTGTCGAGGGAAGTCAAGAATCCACTGAGTCCACGTGAGGCATCGAGTCGAACTCCACACAGTTTATGTTCCCTGTTACACTATTACCTAAGAACCTGGAGCTGATTAGTCATTTAATGAATATAGACTTTTCTTTATGTTATGTTATAGTAAAGTGAATATATATGGATTTTAGACTGTTACTCAAAACAAGAAATTTGAAGATGTCACGTTGGGCTTCAGGAGACTGGGATTTTACAGACCAAACAATTTATTGATTCCACGAGAAAATAATCATCAGATTAATCGATTAAAGGGTTTTTCCCTTGAAAAGTTTTAAAGTTCCATATTTTACACTTTTCCTGTGTTTTATTTAAAGTGTCGATCCATAAGAAAATATATTGGTGTAGTTTTACATCTCCTCTCTCAGGCTTCTCTCTGGAGCTCTCGTAACAACAGGTCGGTGAACCAATCAGAAGAGAGGAAGCAAATTTAATTAATTTTACTTTCACAGAAGAAGGGGCTCTTCTGTCGCTAGTTAACTAACCTTTGCACAAATTATTGTTGGCATGTGCAGTATGTAATCTAAACAATGTGGCCAGACATACAGATGCCATTTACTCCTGGCTGAGAACCAATCACAATGTGATGCAGACCTCCTCCGAATATGTTCTGGCTGGTGTGATAGCATTCCCACTGCAATGCATTCAGTGTGTGTTTACACATCCTTATCCAGATAGGTTATTAGCAGGTGTACATGTCCTCTAAATGTCCTGCTGTAAAAGAGTCTTGAATTAAAGTGTGTGAATATAAACGGCCCTGACAATATATCTACAGGCTACCTTTAAAGCTGATTTATTTGCTTCCTATTTGACCTTCAGACCAATTACTCTAATTACAGTGTTTACCAAAATCTGCATCGGCTTGTGGCGGCAAAAAGGCCGTGAATCACGTAAAAACTCTGTGACAGGATATTTCGTAAAGCAAACAGTGGCGGAGAGTAAACTGTAAACGGGCGGGAAAGTGGAGTTTATGAATGAAGTGAGTGTTTATGTGTGAGGAGAGCACCTTGTGAAATGAATTCTCTTATATTTTAAACTCACAGGCTCGTGCCACAGGACGCGTTGTGGCCGTGAGATGATGCAATCAGTTGTGCCATTTAAATATAACATTTCAGTCTTAATCAGTTATAGCTTCCTCGTGTCATTGCATGTATTTTCTACCACGCACTGACTGTTTGCTCTGACTGACTGTGAGCATCAGCTTGCAGGGAAGGACGGACATGTGAGGGCATGATACTGTTATACTGTCAACAGACAAAGTAAGTACCGTTCCCACTCAGTTGCTTTCTATCTGGCACCTTATGTGATATAAATGTCAATGTGTGGCCACATTATGTAAACCTTCAGTGTTCTTTACTGAAGCCAGTTGAGATTCTCAGTTTTGATTCAGTTCATAGACGTTAGTCGTGTTTTGCTACTTTCTATGTACAAATGTACAGTCCTTGTCAGTTTGCTGGTTTATGTCTTGACTGTTTTTGATAATCAGTATCTTTTTGTGTGTGTGTGTGTGTGTGTGTGTGTGTTTTAAAAACATGACCAAAAGATGTTTTATCCTTTGAGAGCAGCATCACCTTCACTATGAATAAATGAAGAAGTTCTCAAAGTCGGTGTGAGTCAAGTTAATTTGATGCACCACATGTAGCCACGCCCCATTGCAAGACAGGGCTCAACATCCACCACACCTGTTGTAATTATATATTTCATAACCGTAGATACTGATGAAGACTACATGTTCAGTTACATAAATCCAAAAATGACTTGTCTGTTTAAGTATCTGACAGGAAGTAAAAACAGCTGTCTCCTAGCAACATAGTTGCAATGAAACTATTGGTCGCATTCAGTCCACACCTCGTGCGATTGATTGTATCCTGTTTCCTGAAAGTTTCAAACCAGTGAAGGCTGAAGGCAGGAGATGGCAATGATTACAAATTTAATTTAAAAAACAATTTGGTTTCCATCAGCACAATAAGAGAGCGATGTGAGTTTTACTAACTTGAAAACACAATTAAAGTCATTATTTAAAATGTTCTGTTTCTTATTCTAAAATTCAAAAATCAAGAATTTAAAATACAAATGTATTTTAATTAAATATAAAGAAAACCAAATATAATTACAAACAAACTAGAAATAGCAGTTGAAATAATAATTGAATTTGACCAACAAAACAAACATAGTTGTTATCACGCAAATTTAAATCATGCTTTCCATAATACACAGTCACATACAATATAAATTGCTGCATTATATCCAATAATTTCTTTGATTTTTTATGGTAAATGTTGTTATTCAGGCTGGTTTCCGTGTCAGCAGTGAACTCAGTGTTTCATTTCCATCTCAGCACCTCGAAAGCTCTTTTTCAGAGACTGTATGTGGATAAAAACAACTACAGTGTGTGTGTTTTTTAACATTAAAATGTAGAGGAGGAACTCTGTTTTATCCGCTGTGAGCAGTACAGGTCTTAACAAGCAGCGTTCAGCCCCAGAAACCTGCACCACAAAGACAGCTTGTACATATGTTGCCTGTGAGGCAAAAACCAGGGTAAGAAAAAGTCAACAAATCACCTGCCACTGCTTGTACATGTTAATTGCTGCGAGTGTGAGGTAACCGATCTGCAACTCAACATTCAGAGGACACTGTAAAAACTGAAGGGATTGAAACAGGATTTTGAGAACTTAAGGGGGAAGTGTCCCCTCCATCCTCAGCAGGAGATTACGTCCTTGACACATGCACAGCATAATAACAGATCAGTTAAGCAAAGACAAAAAAAAAAAAGGCACTGAAGCCAAAATGCATGTAAAAGAGAGAAGATCAACTGTAAGGAAATGGCAACAGTGCAGTGAGCAATACTGTTCTCCACACAGATATGAATCAGTTTATAGGCCCTCCAAAAGCTATTACAGAACTCATATCTAATCAGAAATGGTGATTTCATCTGTTCGTATATTTTAATTTAATTAATTTAATTCCACTGCTGTCTAAACACACAATACAAAGCAGCAGCAGAGGGCAGGTTGACCTAGTAAACACTGAATATAAACCCTCCTATACTGATTAGACCTCGCAGCAGAATGAGTGGAATTCAGCAGCTGGGTTTAACGTGGCATTGTTCCTTTACAAAAGCAGAAGCCACAAAACAATTAGAAATATTTCAGTCATATTCTATCACATGTAGGTCAGTCGGGACTCTGGTTATTTAACAGCCTTTCAGTTGTGTTGACATGCCGGTATTGAAACCACTGTTCAAGTACAAGGCTGCCTCTTGTCCTCATTTGCCTCCCTTTGTGGCAAATGTTGGACCTGTTGTGTATCTATGGTTACATAAGTTTGTAGGTGTGTGTGTTTATGGGTGTGTGTTTACAAGTATTTGTGTGTCAGACTCTCCTATATCAGTTTGTCACTGTCCGACATTACACATCTAAGTATGTGTTGCACTAAATGGTTGTTGTATTCTTTTATTTTCCTGCTGCTATTATTTCCTTTCTTTTCTTTTTTTCCACAGTAAATTTATTACCCGAGACAATTGCATATTCTGTTTTTCCAAGTTAGTCTCCACTTCAGTCTCATTATCAGCCGCTCAGATGCTCTCATGAGCTTCAAATATGGATGCATTGCACATCTTCTTTTTCAGAATAATCAGGACTGTTGAATGAGGAAATATTTGATGTGAGTTGCACTGAGGAAGAAGCAAGATTCACTCAAACAACAAGCGAATTCAGAACAGAAACAATTTGTCAACACATGCTGCAAATACTCTGAAGTGTTTCCAGGGGACACTAAAAAGTGATGGTCAGGAAGAGAGAGAGGATGACTCAAACCCAGGTTAGGACTAAGCCTTCTAAACACTTCCGTTGCATTTGGCCTCTCAGGGCCTCCGTACAAATCAGCTGACCTCTCAGGCTTCATAGGGTTCAAGCGTCCAACTGCTAGAATATGAACTAATTCACAAAACCCATCGTAACCAATAAATGAATAACACAAGCAACTATTGAGCGAGCTCTCGCGGGAAGATCTTTCTGTTTCCTCACGTCTGCAACCTTTGGCTCTCGTCTAATTCTCTTTGCGAGCAAATCTATTGCTGATGCAAAAAAGGAGCAGGGTGAGAGGGAGAACCGGTGTTGTACTCCTCTCCCCAGATAGTAAAACATTAGCATACATTTTAGCTGTAGAGCATTTGTATCCAGGCTGTTGTCGCCTACCGGCCTGTTGGTGTTAAATACTAATAATGTCTTTGGTAAAATACTGAATGTCTTTGAAAGCATGTTTCTCTTCTTAACACTGTCACTGCATCTGTTTCTTGTTTCATCATGTTGAAGTTATTTGATCGTACGTGACTCACTCTTCTGCTCAAAGGCAGCTAAGTGAGTGACTCACTGTAAAGTTTAGGTAACCATGAAGTTTATAGAAAAGGAGGTTTGCTCAAACATGAGCACTGCTCGAGGTATTCCCTCGCTGACGTGCATGTGCATAGGATGTCGGCCTCGCCTGGGGGGTGGAGGAGCTGAGTGTTTGCATGTGTTTGAATGAAAGGGTCGGCTCCGCTGTCATGGGAGGAGTGTGTTTGAAGTTGTAATTATTGCAATTATTTGGGAGAGGAGCTTTCGCAGTGATTTTTTTCTCTCACACTGGCAGCAGCAGCAACCTGAAACCTGTATGTCTGGGAGATCATTTATTTTTAATTGCATGCATGTACTCTGTCTTACATAACACAGAAAACAGAGGTGATTATTAACAGTAGTCCCTATTACATGGTGTACAGTCCATGGCTGTCATCTTGATTGTATCTCTCTCATTAAATTCCTCCTAATCAATGAAGTCTATAAATCTTATATGTGTGTAAATGTCACCTCGGTCAAGATTTTATTGATATCAAATAGTAATGATTAAATCAAGTTTGTCCTCAGGCTGGCTTTAAAACAAAAGGCCACAGAAGTCGTTTAAAAAAATCTAATGGGTTCATCAACCTTTGAACTTTCATAATGTATGTATAATAATGTGACAGGAAACCTCAGTGAGGCTCAGAATTGAAATGATTTAAAGTTTACTCAGATCTGTTCAGGTTAAAGGCCCATAAATTTTTTTTGGTTGTGTGTGTAATTTAAGCTTTTTCCAAATTATTCTTGTGACCTAAATCTTTATTTTGTTTTTTTTGCTTTCCCTTCATTCTCAGCAGTTTCTGCATCTGTACTTTTTTTAATACCAAGTTTGTACGCATAATGTAAATAATATTTCATGTGAAAAAGTGTAAAGAATCTCAGCCAGATTTCTTTGGTTTCCTTTAACTTCAGTGGTTCAGGAGGTAGAGCGGGTCGTCCACTTACGGGAAGGTCGTTGGTTCGATCCCCGGCTCCTCTTGTCTGCATGTTGAAGTGTCCTTGGATGAGATACTGAACGCCCGAACTGCTCCCAAAGTATCATTGGTGTTTGTGATAGAAAAGCTCTGAGTGAATGTGAGACAGTCAATCCATGAATTAGAAAAGCTCAGTGGTTCATCCTGTGGGGACACTGAATATCCAAAGTAAACTTTATTTAATTCAGCCATTTGTTTTTAGCCAGCTGACCAAAACTGAAACCAGGACTGAAGAAAAGGTTATCTCCACCACCTTCCCTCAGGTTCGTCCTTGCTCCAAGCTCTTCCTGACATGATAACCCTGGAATCTGACCTCATTAAAGCGTCTGTCTCTGTTGAACCGGCAGCGAGAACCAGCCACGACTGGAATGTGACAAAGTCATCAGGTCGCATTCTTCTTCTGTGAATGTAATGTTGGTTAATTGGTAGGTTTGTAGAAAGGGACTCCCTCCGCTCACTGTTCCTGTGGGGTTACCAGTACTGTTTAAGAAGGTGTTCCCACATTCACACACTGTGTGTACATTAATTGTTTCCACAGTGTGGTAGTTTGGTATGAATGGAATTGCAAGTTTCAGTTAGTTACTGGTCAGACTGCCATAAAATTAGCTGTTAACGCTCACAGGATAGATCCACCTGACATTTCTTGCCAAAATAGCCCCTTGTACACAAGTAATATCAAAATATAATAAATGAATAAATACATTTTCTTGGGTTTTCTAAGCACATTCATGCTCCCAAGAGAATAATCCCTTTTGATTTTAATATATTTACATTTTTAGCGCCATTACGGCTGAGGTCCATCAGCACGCTGTTCACTCCTTTAGTTTTGTTCAAGTAAAAAAAGTGTGACAACTGCATCTACCACCATATCCAACGCTATACACCGAGTTAAAACCTGATTCCTCAGCTCAGTGCGATCTGTTACGTGAGCGCTCTGGACTTTGCTCAGTTATTTTAATATCCTCTCTGTTACAGCCAAAAGATGAAAATGAATGCAAAGGGTCGAAGGAACCCGTAAAGGTTTTACGAGGCAGCTATCAAGTTTCTTATCAGCCTCAGAGCTGGTGCTTTATCTATTCAGAGCTGCAGTCTAAATATCTATCGGGGTCAGCAAGTCTCTCTGTCGAGGGGCTGAGGTTTTGGGATGTAGAATGAAGCTGATGGGAGCTTTTATTTTCTGCCAACATGTGTTATTCTTTCTACCTTTGCAGAAGCACCTGCATATTTGCTGTTAGATTTTTTTTTTTTATCTCAGACAACAACACAGAAAAACATTAATGTATTTTGCTAAAGCAAATGTGAAGGTTGACGTACTGTATCCACTGTACCTTGTTCTCAACACCATCTGGTCAATGGAATCTGAATACTGTGGACTGTGAACTGTGATACATTCATTTCTGCCTGTTTTATGGATATTTCTGCAGAGATCAGTATATCCTTAAAACACAACAATCCCTCAGCTGAAGTGCTTCCTATGCTGTTTCTCCATTATCAGCACTGATATGCTGACTGAAGTAGTGCGTAAACCCAAAGCACCGCACTTGTGTCCTTGACACTAAATCATACAGCGCAGAGCTCTTTCCATAAAGTCTATAGTTGTCTGTCTGTGTAATTGTTTAATATTGTATTTAAAAAGATATATTACATAATGCATCTATTCAATTCTAAGCTCTCTAAACTAGACCCAGCTGGATAGGCAGACCGATCTCAAGTAAAAACAAACATTACATACTTTTTATTACAAGAAGGAAAACAAAATATAATGTCTACTGTAACATAAAGCTGCAGTGGGAGATTGTGGAGAAGAAAATGAACATTGAGCCAATTTCTTCATTGCCTGTTTGGTCCAATAAATCTTTTTAGCAGCAGCCATCCAGAAACAGCCGGTCTCGCCCCTCAATCGACACTCAATAACCCAGTGTAGTGTAGACTGAAGCCGATGTATGTCAGTGGAGGAAGATGAGCATCAACATATACTTAAAATATCAAATATACCACAACTCATAGAAAAATGTTTCATTGGATAGCTCTTAATGTACAAGCACTGCTTTAATGTTGCAGCTGGTAAAGGTGTGGTTAATTTAAACAATCTTTTACACTACTGGGTAACTTAATTCTTAATATATATCATTATGTATTAATAATCTGAATCTGCAAAGTAACTATAGTTATCACACAAATGTAGTGAAGCAAAAAGCACAATACTGGAAGTTTAAAGAGCGTAAAAGTGAATTAGTGAAGTAAAGCACAGTGACCTCTACACTGTACTCCAGTACATACTGTTGACAGAGAGTATATTATCATTATGTTGTATATAGACAACAACTTAAATATTTAAAGAACGCGTTCTCTCCTCCCCTGGTGTTAAAGGACCTTTAACTCAGATCCTTTATATTCTCAGAGACAATCAGCTGGTTGGTGTAATTTTCATGCATCTGCTTTATCTCTGCAGTTTAGCTAAGAAACAAGCGTAGCCATCTGTGTCATCCATTCCAGTGAAATCTAACATCAATGCAACCAAGTCCACCAAATTTATTTGGCTTATATAAGTCACTAATTGCTTTACCGATGAATCTCATAAAATCTGTTAAAGATTAAGCCATTTGGCTCGTGGCCCTGTACAGTGTCTACTTGAGGCCCTTTGTTGTGTTTGTGGTGCCCACTAAAGAGACATTTCCCCTCTGAACATCTCAGATATTTTCATATAAGTAGGCCTGTGTGTTTAAGACCACAAAAGATCAAATTATCAAATGCTTCACAAAAAGGCAAACACTGGGGAAGTTTTTTTCTTTTCCATATACATATACTTTTTTAAGAAGTATTCTGAGATCTGTGACAAAGACAAATATATGTCATTTACATTCAGTTTGAAATCTGAGACACATTGTATGGAAATATCTGATTAATGCTGAATGTCCAAAAATATAGATATATTGGAAAGTTAAATCACTGGACCAAACAATCCAACTCTAAATAAAGTAATTAGAAGTAGTTTCACCTCAGCTAAACGCTGCTAATATAATAATGTCACCTATAATAATAATGATAATATATCACTCACTGCATAATGAATGCTCTCACTGCAAAGTTGGTAATAATTTTCTGCGCAGTGACGTAAGTAAGTTATGAATTTGACTACTTTCACAGCTCCTTGCAATGCGCCAAGAGCAGAGCTGTGACAGTTTTAATGTTTCCAACGGCACTTAAAGGCAGCACCGGTCGTCTCGGGGGGGTGGGAGTGGGCGTTAACGTCACACAGTAAAAACTCCGACACACGCGCCGCCTCTGTGTTAGTGTTCATCACAGTGAGGTCGTGTGCACGTGCCCGACGGTAGAGACAGTCCAACCTGCAGACACAGCGGGACGACCAGTGACTTCACCCGCCGGTAACTGACTTCAGCCGGTCAGCGGGACTCCACTGACTCCGGCTGCATTGCTTGACATCCCGGTTCTCGGACAGCAACAAATACAAACAACAACAACAACAAGAACAAGAACATCAACCACCGTCGGACACCATGCCGTCTCTGCGTCACTCCTACACGGTGACGGTGCTGGAGGAGCCGACCGCTTTCCCCTTGGACAAACACGACCTGCGGCGCAAGAATCCTTCGCTGTCCCGGTCCATGCTGGTGTCCACATTCATGGGTCTGATCATCAACCAGGCCAAGGTGAGTCCAGACCACCTGCACTGCACCTCTGCCTCTGTCTCACCTCTCTCCCAAAGCCTCCCCCTCTTCCTCTCGATTCCCTTTAATTTAACTTTCACAAATAACAAACTATTCATCCTGACTTTTTAAAGTTCTTATGCACTTGTCATTGTCAACACAGACATATTGTGTTTTTTGGAGGGAGGGAGGGGGGGGCTCTCTGGGGTGCAGCAGCCATAAAATCTAATTATTTAGCTTCACTGAATTGTTTAGAAGTAAGTTTTGTCCTTTTTGATTATAATGTTAAGCAACATTATTGGAGTTCAGATCTTTTACATTAAATACAAAATAGGAAGTAAAATATATTTCACTTAAATCAACAATAAATTTGGGTATTTGTTTATTAATAAGGACATAGAAGTGGTATATTTTTGCACTGGCAGCTTGTTCAGTGTTCATGTAAGTGTTATGATCACCCATAAAGCTGACGATGACATCAACACACACGCAAATATCTCATCACTGTAAATTATGATTCATGCACACAGGGACACAGTATCATGGTGATACTGCAGGAGAGAGAAAATAGACTCCATGAAATGCAGTGTGATATTTACAGTATGTGAAAGAAAATCAATGTTAAAAAAAAGAAAGAAAGAAAGAAGAAGAAATAGTAAAATCTCAACATCTTATTCAACTTTGTAACAACATGGAGAGCCAGAGAAAGCTTTGTGACCTTTAGGCTCTTATCAGGGGAGAGGGACTGGGCTGGAGGGCAGATAGGAGCACAGGGCGGGGAGGTAGGGGGAGTCGGGTGGGGGCGGAGGTTTAAGAAAAGCAGCAGCAGCAGCAGCCTGTATCAGAGTAACAAATAGAGTGTGACATTTGTTGCGTAATAGGAAGGAGAGCCCTGCTGATAAGGAATGTGTCCAGACTGTCACCTTCCTTATCGTCTGCACGGTACATTTTGTTCGCGCTGAGCTCTGCCCACAGCCTGCACATACAGTGTCCACAGCCCATGTGGGTTTGAGGTGTTTACGGAAGCGTAGCGTAGCCTGCAGTCACAGACCACACGCTTCACGTCCTTGGCTTTGGCTAACACTGTTGGAAGATATCGGTTTCAACACATATTGCGCTCACTTTTCTTAGTGTAATTGAGTAGTTTTCAGTGCTTACACAAACCAGACGTTAAGTGTCCCAGATGATGAGTGACTTTGATCCAAACTGAAACACCTCTCCAGCTGTAAACCATGACATTTGTTGCAGACATTCATGGTCCCCAGAAGGATTAATCCCAATGACTCTGGTGATCTTTCAATTTAAGGCTGCAGCTAACAATTATTTTCACAATGTACCTATTATTCTCTCAAATGATCGACTAACAAATCAGTCTAGTTAATGTCACAAGGATTGTAAAACAATTTCACCCAAAGCCCAAAGTGATGCCATCTGATTGGCTGATCCACATCCAAAGATGTTCAGTTCACTATCAAACGAGACGAAGGAAAAAAAAAAAGCAACAAATCTTCACATTCGAGATGCTGCAGTCGGAGAATGTGAATCAGAATAATTGCAGATTAATTTTCTGCCGATCAACTGATCGTAAACTGAAATGGCAAAGTAGCTCACCATTAAAACTGCATAACTTTTATGTCACTGAAGTAGAAATTTTTTCATCATCTTTTTCTCCTTTTTAGTCTCACAGTAAAGTTCCTGTACTTGAGTGTGGTATGTTTGGACCTTCCCCAGCCCTGCTGTTAATGTAGCTGAGATTTTTGTTTATACTGTATCCAAGGGAGTGGCGTAGCTGGCACCATGTGTTGCTCCCTTCGTCACGTTATACGGCCTTGACCAGGCATGCAAAGCTGGGTAAGGACATCACGTTCTCCAGCTCTCTCTCTCCCTCTCTCCCTCTCTCCCTCTCTCCCCTTCTCTCTGAAGACATGCCAGTGGACCGGTGGAGAGCGTTGTTGTTCAGAACACAGAGATTACCTGAATCGCCCATCACTTCCTTGCTTTTTTTTTTTTTTTTGGACGGCTCTTTTTAAATTACAAGCCGCCTGCTGAGTGTGTGCCGAGGGCCCCGCTGTGGTCAGTACTCACCGGAGCAGTGCAGCAGATTGGGACTCGCACCATATGGTCACCTTCAAAATAATACTGCGGAGAAGAAGGGGAAGAATAATTGTAGCCAAGCAAGCAAGCAGGCTGTGGGCTGTTAATAGCTTATATTGTCACAGTTCTATTTTCAGGAGTGAAAAGCTCGTGGAACATAATAAACAACAACATGAGGCACTAAACCTCTTCACTGACACTGTGGATGAGGATAGCAGCACAACAGGATTTACTAACCTCTTCATATTTACTTAAAATGCAAAAAAAAAAGCAAATTCTTATCGAAATACACTCTCTCTGCTGAGCTCTCTGCTCCAGTTATCTCCAGCTCTAACCACTGTAACACAGATATAATGCTTTAGCAAAGATAAGTGCCACTAACTCTTCTTCTTCTTCTCTCTTATTCAAATCAACCAAAAAGACACTAAAACTCAAAGTACAATTAAGAATAAACAACAGCATGTTGAAGTGATTTACAGGTGTGCAGCCGTGCCCTCATTTATGCTTCCGTCAGTGCGTTGCTGCCTTGACGCTATTACTTCCACATGCAGCTCCTCGGCCGTCAGCAGAGGCGTCGGTGCGTGACCGTGCTGACTTGCTCCGAGTCATCATGTTACACAGTTACTATGTTCCCTCTTTGAGGACGAGCTACAGGTCACAGGCCAAGATGTCACCTGTTGTTATTATTCAGACAGTGGCCAGCAGCGAGCACTCAGGCTGCGGGTGGCGCAGAAAAATGTCAAAAGTGTTCCCCGTTTCACCGCGGTTTTTTAACAATGCGTTCAAGGACGAGCGTAATTAGGTCAGTGTCACTTAAATGGAGTTTCACCTCCAATTAAAGCTTATGCAATAAAAAAAATGTCTCAAGAACAGATAAGAGGTCGATGCAGGTTGTCTTATCTGAAAATCAAACATGAGTGGGTCCCTGCTCGACTTCTGCAAGAGCCTCAAACTGAGTCTGAACTTTAGACTGAGATAAGAAGTTATACTTCTGATTTACATCTACATAAATATATTTTTACACAGTCAAAAAGAAAGAAAAGGAAGTTTTCTTCCTGAATCAGAAATTTGAAAACTGAACCTTGATGCTTTTTTTGGGAAACGTCAGGTTTGGGTCGGCTGCTGGAACTCTAGTTGGCCACATCTCTTCTTCAGCTTTTTAAAAAAATTTTTATTGCAGTACTTTTATCATTTATAGCTATGATTTCATTGGCCTGATTTACTACCTTGATTTATCCAGACATTCATGAATAAAGGTTCTAACAATAGGCTCATGGCCCATGTTAAAGCAGCTCATGATTCTGTGACCTGCAGGTCTGGAGGTTAAAACCTAAATTTGGAAATGAAAAACATCTCATTGCCTTGATACAGACAGTACATTATTATTGAGTGGGTATGTGCCATGATGGTGTGTATGTTGTGTAGGAGCGTTTCCAACCTGACAAGGACAACGTACAGAGGGAAGTGCCAGCTGCTTGTGATTACTCTTGAATTTCGTGACGATGGAAACATCAGTCTAAATCTAAAAGTGATACCATCAGTTGTTTCAGAGCGTTGCATCAGTCTGATTAGCACCACACTACCGGTGGCACCAGATAAAACAAGAGCTAAAGTAGTTGATCCTCAACTTGTGCAGTCATGCGAGACGCCTCACACACAAACGACTTGACGCCACGCTGTGTTCTCCACGGATTCTCAGTAGAGCCTTCTCTCATCACATGCCTTGTGTGATGTCACCGCGGCGACCGGACGGCGACTGGTCGGCGGCCGGTCGGCTCGTCTGTGCTGGTAAAGGTCAGGACACACTGTGGCGTCTCGTCAGAAGCACGTGGAACAGTAGCTGATAACCAGAGCTCAGAGCTGCGACGCTGCCAACAATGTGACCATCGTATGAATTGATTTGATGCCGCGCAACCCCTCGAGGCTTTGTTCACACTTGAGGAATGTAGAAGGGCTGCTGTCGCTGTCACACTGAGACCTTGTGCAAGCTTCATCTGATAACATGACAGCTCAGAAGACTCAGCTGTATGCTAACACTTGCTCAACCCATGTGATAACTAAACACCCATGAGGGCCACACAATCCAGCTCCTCTCAGTCTGATCGTCATGACTTTCATGGTCCCCACTTTGACCCGGTCTTGGCCCCATTAATGACCCACGTTGACACATGTTGAGCCCATGCGGAGCCAGTTGAGATTTTCCTTTGTGTTCATAAATTAAGAAATATCACCACCAAGGCTTCAGAAACATTTCTCGCTGGATGTTTCGGCTTTTTGGTCGATTTTAAAGTGGTAAAAACAGCCCGAAAGTGTCCGTTTAAAAGTCTGTTAAAAATATACGAGCTTGAGGTTTGAAGTCTGGTCACACACTCTCCTAAACCCTTCAGAATTTTTTATTATTGAACAAATTAATTATGCTGTGTTATTCTCTGTCTAGCTGCCTGTCAAGTGTATCTCATGCTGTATAATACCTTTCTGGTAAACTTATCATTCTCCAGCAGACTCGTGAGTAAACGAGACTCTCTTCTCTTTTTCTTTGTGCAGAACAAGAGTCCTCAAGGCCTGGTGGGACTGAGGAACCTGGGCAACACGGTGAGTGCTTTTACTTCGTAACACACTACACATCAGCCTGCACTTTGACCTGCTGACATCACCAGCTGAGTCTGGATCTTCCTTTTTTAATTCATCCTTCTTCTTTTTTTTCTTTTCTGTTTGTGATTTCCAGTGTTTCATGAACTCCATCCTACAATGCCTGAGCAACACTCCAGAGCTGAGAGATTACTGCCTGAGAAACATCCACCGCACAGACCTCAACAACAACTGCCGGAACAGCGCCGCTCTCATGGAAGGTAGGACGAGACTCTGAGCTCTCACGCCACATCTCATCAGCATCATGAGGAGCATTAGTCACTTTATGGCTCAGCAGCAGTAGGTCAGATATTTTCAGTTTATACTGTATGTACTTTATACTCGCGTCAGATCAGAATTATCAAACTGTTATCAGATCAGATACCTTACTGAACCCGCCTAGCTGCAATCAGATCACTTAATACTCCTGCAGCCTGTGTTTGCTCAGCATAGCAGTCACTACCTCCAATATAAACGTATTGAATAAAAACACTTAACCTAATGTTCAGTTCAAAGAACCCCAATTTCTTTCTTCCACAACTTTGTATAATTTCATTTTTTATCAGTTGTGGTTTATTTATTTATTTTAGATTAATTTATGTGATAACCTAAGGTCCACTTAGTAACTGTTGGAGAGCTTTCAACAGCCTCTCACGGTCTTCATCAGCACATTTGTTTAGACAGTATCCAATCGGTATTATCATTTTATCAATGAAAGGCTGAAGTTAAGTTTGGGTGAGGGCAAGTGCATCAATCATTCACTTTGTGAAGGATGTCCTCGCTCACAAACTGCACATGTGTGAACCACGAGAAACATCTCCGTTCATGATTGTGGTCTCTTTCCTTCGCCTCCTTCGTCTCAGAGTTTGCGAAGCTGACTCAAAGCCTGTGGACCTCCGTGAACAATGAGGCCATCAGTCCGTCTGACTTCAGGAACCAGATCCAGAGATACGCTCCCAAATTCGTGGGCTGCAAGTAAGTCGCCCCCCTCATCCTGCCTGTAAAATTTTTCATGTAAATTAATGTAGTTGGAAAATAAATAACTCTCCTTCTGTCTCTCCGCAGTCAGCAGGACGCCCAGGAGTTTCTGCGCTCCTTATTGGATGGTCTCCATACTGAAGTGAACAGAGTGACAGTCCGCCCTAAGGTGTCAGTCGAGGACTTTGACCACCTCTCGTAAGTCAGTGCGCCAGCCACCTCTCACCTCTGCCCCCAATAAGTCACTCATAAGCTCCCATGTCTGCTGCACATCTGATTGGGCTGCAATGATTCTCTAGTTTTATGGTTTTATATTCCTCTCTAATTATGTCAAATAATGTGAAATGACATTCGTTCACAGGGATGAGGAAAAAGGCAAACGCATGTGGAATATGTACTTGGAGAGAGAGGACAGCAAAGTTGTTGGTAAGTTGTTTTTTTTTTGGCTTGAAGCTGCATAATTACCTGAAAAACCGTTATTGAATTTAAATCCATATTAAACGTAATCCTCCATCTTTTGTCGCTGCCTTTAGATCTGTTCGTCGGTCAGCTGAAAAGCTCTCTGACCTGCGCCGCCTGCGGCTTCCGCTCCACCGTGTTTGATCCATTCTGGGACCTATCAATACCTATTGCACAGGTCAGCACATGCACATACATTTTCAAAGATTTTTCACATATGGGCTAAGCATCAATATTTTGTAAAATAGTATTGGCTAGGCTATAAAGACTTGTAGTGTGCTTCTTATTGACCTGACATGCTCTGTGTGTCTCCACAGAAGAGCTCAGGCGAAGTGACTCTCAAAGACTGTTTGAAACTCTTTACAAAAGACGACGTGCTGGATGGGGACGAGAGGCCGGTAAGAAGCTTCACGCAGCACGTCACACACACACCGTGTTGCTTTTGTAAAGTTGATGTGGATTATAGAGCCTCTCTGTGTTTGCCTCTCTCTCAGACATGCAACAGATGCAAAGCCAGAAGGAAATGCACCAAAAGATTCAGCATCCAGAAGTTCCCTCAGATCCTCGTGCTTCGTATCCTTTTCCTCACATCTTTGTACACGTTTGTTTAACCATAGACCATGCAGATGCATTTGAATGAGAGCAGTCTTCCTGCTAACGCATTAGCATGCACTAAGTCAATGATCTGCCAGAAACATATGCATGTTTCAAAATATCTGTAGCCACTGAACCTTTCAGTTCCCCTCAGCTCCACAGAGTTTTTTTCCACCCTCTTCTTAGCTCATTGTTTTGTTCTCCGGGTGTTTAATCTGTCTCTTCATCACCCTTGATTCCAGCAGCAGCATTCGGCTGTCTTCCGCAAAAAATGGTTTGGAAAAACCGACTGTACACTAGCTCACCAGCAAAAAGCTAACGTACTTAGCGACTAACAAAGTGGAGCATCCACCAGCTAAAGAGCCTCACTATTCCTCCGGGAGTTAAAACGGGAATAGACATTGGACTTGAGAAGACTTCAAATGAATGCTAATGTTGCTACATGTCTGCAGGCCACGACAGCTTCATATGTCACAAGTTGTGTTGTTAGCTTGTTCCGCTGCCTCCAAGTGGCCAAACAATCAAGCAATGCAGCTTTAAATATCAAAAATCAAAAGTGAATGTACTCGTTATGAAAATCAGAACTGCCGTCAGTGTTCAGAGCATTTTAATGTTTAAGTCCTGAACTTGACTGTGCATCATATTTCAGGAGCTGATCATGTTCATCTGTTGCATAACTAGCCAAATAGATGCTGTAGAGTAAAGTACAATTGATTATAAAGTACATTTATAATTTAATCGGTTACATTTACTATATTTGTAATGTAGTAGATGAAGTCCAAGTGCCTTCTAATTGCATTTGAGGTACAATGATGTTATTTCAAATCAGTTTCTGTTCCTTGACTCACTGCTCCTCTCAGACCTGAAGCGTTTCTCAGACTCTAACAACCGATCCAGCAAACTTTCCACTTATGTCAACTTCCCTCTCAAAGAGCTGGACCTGCGGGAGTTTGCCTCAGAGAGCAGCGGTAAGTATCTGCGGAAGACGACGCACCGTCACCTGCAGAGGCGAGGACAATTCGTGCACTCTCCGAGGTCAGCTGGATACGATGAGTGTTGACTGACTGGCTGTTGTCTCTCCCTGCAGAGCGTGTTGTGTATAACCTGTACGCAGTGTCCAACCACACTGGAAATGCTTTGGGAGGCCATTACACAGCCTACTGCAGAAACCCAGCACTGGGAGAGTGGTACAGCTACAACGACTCCAGGTATCAAGTTACATCCACTCACCTGTCATCATATTACCTCACATATCATCTTATGAGATTGGCAGAAAGCTGTGCAGTCTAATTATATTGCACTATACAGTATGTACCTGCTGTCATCACATTGGCCTCATTCTATCCGTGTAAATTAATTGTGCAGATTGGGTGCGTGCATGCGTGCAGCTGCCTGTGTGGGAGTGGGATCATTCTGTGGCCATTTTTATTTCTTACCTGCAAGCATTTGTTCTCTAAGAAACAGTGCTGTGTGGTTTCAGTGCTATAACTACAGTGTGTGTTCTCTGCAGGGTGAGCCCAATGTCCTCCAGCCAGGTTCGCAGCAGCAACGCCTACGTCCTCTTCTACGAGCTGGCTGCCTCCCCACACAGCAAATATCAGACGTGTCGGCTTTAGACACTGGAGGAGAGAGGAGCTGTACTAAAAGCTGGGCCTGAGAAAAAAAAAAAAAAAAAAAAAAAAAAAAGTGAGACACTGCCCGTTAGGAGAGAGCTCCACCTAGTGGAGACTGTGCCGCCATTACAGACTGTGAACATGGAGCACAGAGACATGTTGCTGAGGGGGGAAAAAAAAACAAAACACCCTTTAACCTTCATCTCATGCGTTTTTTGAGAGACAAAAGGTGGATGTGAAGCCGAGGTCTTTTTTTCAGATGGAAGTGAACTAACACTGGGGGAAAATACAACTTCAAATTCAGCTCCAGACGTAGCTGTCAGTCAAACCTAATATGTCTGTGTGGAGCACAACACATCCAGCATGGTGCACACGTAGCAGTGGACTCAGAAAATTATGTTTTCTGGTTTATTTTCATTCCCAAAAAGAAGACGTTTTACAGCTGATCCTGAACCTTGTCCATGAAGTGGATCTTTTTTTTTCTTTCTTTTTTTTTACACTATAAAACCGGACAATAAACCTAAAGGACATTGAAATTGTGTGTGGACATTGCAGAGACTTGAGAAATGTCCCACACACTGACTGCAACATATAAGTTATTCTATTTAATATGGCGCCAGTAAATTAAAGTGCAAACTGTATATGTCATTTAACAAAGGCTGATGGTTTTCCTCTTAGAACAGTGAAAATACACGAATGAAGAGGGGATGTTTTATGTCAAAGCACATTTTATTTTTGTACAGTATTTATGGGCAGCGCAGTGAATGTATCTGTACTGTGGAAAAACCCGGATGCACCAAAGCAGCTGTGTAAATATGCATCAGTAAAACTTCTTCCAGGAATAAAGTTGCTGAATTTGAATTGAAGCCTGTTCAAGTCTTCAAATTATTAAAATTCATCGTCAACTTATGCTGCATTATGTGTTTATTCTTATTTTACCCTCAGTTATTCAGTGAAATGGAAGCTGGGGAAGAGTTCATTAGTGCCGTGCTGAAAATAAAAACATATGTTTTATCAATTGTTCCACCATTCATCTAATTCAACAACAATTTGCCTCAATACATTCCAACAGAAACGTTTCTAGTTCACTCAGGCTTGTGTCTAATTCAATAAATTAGACAGCCAATGACAGAAGACTAAACTAATTCAATCATCAATAACTGATTGTTCTGGCCACTGGTGGCTTGAGGAACAAGCTGATAACACAACATGTGACATATCACTTTATAAAGTTACTGTGACGGACATGTTAGCAAACAGTTGTCATTTTATACTTCCAGCAGACACAGAGCAACATTAGCGTTCACTTAAAGTCACATGTCTATCCTCATGAGGGGTTTTAATACCCATATTCTCATTCCTTTGAGCTAGTTTTTTGTTCTCCTCCAACTTTCTGAGGAAAATATATGACTGTTTATTTGCTAAATGTTCTACAATTTGTTCACTAACTTTCTGTGTCTGAGATCTGGTGCTGTGCAGGTAGCGTACAGTGGGTTCATCAGAGTTTTTTGGCTGGAAAAAAAGCTGTTTCCTGCAGCTGGAAACGCCATAAATAAAAACAGTGAGCTAAAATAAACTAAGCTCTGTAAAGCTGAAGAGAACTGCTCTCTAATTTTCTGCACAGTGACTCCTTGAACATGATAGACAGATAGATAGATAGATAGATAGATAGATAGATAGATAGATAGATAGATAGATAGATAGATAGATAGATAGATAGATATTATAATGTATTTTAGAGATATTACCAGGTTTGCATACAGGCAATTCCTCTGTGTTAAATAACAAGCAGAGTTCAGACAACACTGCGTGCTGTGAACTTCCAGGCAAAATGAGCAGATTATGGTCAGAGTGGATTTAATGTCAGAAACACCTCTGACCCACATAAAACAAGGCCATCTTACAGAGGTGCTTGTTTCACACTGCACCACTAGAGGGAGCTGTGCACAGTGGTCATGAGGTGTGTTGAAATGAGGCTGTCACAATGCTGATATTCTACTAAAACTATTTACTATAAATTGTTGGATCATCAGACAAACTGTTTCTCAGACACGTATTCTGTTTGATTTTTCAGACAGGAATCTCTGCTACATCAGGTTTAATTAACTGCTACATCATTAATTTAATCAAAAAACTTAATATCCACGCACGTCATAAAACCATGATTTGGAACTTGGAACCAAAGGTTTACAATGGACACCTCCCCCATGTTTCCTCTCTCTTCTCTCTGAGTTAACTCTTATCCTTGAATCACTGAGCTTGTTAATGCCTGAGGGAAAAGAAATGAGTGTGTGTGTGTGTGTGTGTGTGTGTGTGTGTGTGTGTGTGTGTGTGTGTGTGTGTGTGTGTGTGTGTGTGTGTGTGTGTGTGTGTGTGTGTGTGTGTGTGTGTGATAGGGTGTGTGGGGGNTGCGTGTGTGTGTGTGTGTGTGTGTGTGTGTGTGTGTGTGTGTGTGTGTGTGTGTGTGTGTGTGTGTGTGTGTGTGTGTGTGTGTGTGTGTGTGATAAGGTTTCTGGGGCTGAGACAGATGATCTGTTTGTGACCAGGCCAGATTGTGAGGAGCAAAGATAAAGTTATCGGAGCAGAGGCCGTGTGTTGTTGCAGCTGTAACACTAACTGAGCCTCTCCCACAACACTGGGATTGTTAAGATGTCACGCAGTCAGTGGGGATCAAAGTCATGTTAGCCTGGTATACAAGGGTTGTGAGTGTGTGTGGTTTGCACTTTGAATGATTGATTGATTGATTGATTGATTGTGGAACTGGTTTAAACCTGGTTTAAAATTTCTGTGGAGCTGCTGTCAGCACAAGGCCTTCAGCTCAAAGCTGCTAAAGTCCAAGCAAGTTAGCTGGATAATGACCTAAAGCTTTTTTAGGTTTCACTCTTAGCCCCAATGTGACCTCACAACTCTGTATGCTACTCCACAATTTGGTCACATAGTGTTCCCTAAACAAACCTTAGGGGAAAAATCGAAACATTATTTTTAGCCACACCGTCAGGGATGGTAACGTTGGTCTGTGGCCCACCGCTTACTGTAAATCCAGACTGAAATACCTTCACAACTATTGGATGGATTGCCATGAAATTGGTGACATCTATGTACAAATTCCCATACTCAATAATAATAATAATGATAACATAACATAAACATTGTATACTAACGTTGACAGAGCATTTTGTGCATTTCATGTATAAGGAATTAAGGTATTTTATCATTTTACTACCAGGAAATGATAGATTTCTATCATGTTTAAAGTCCCTCTTCCCTCGAAAAATGTGTTTGCTTACTGTGCTTTAATGTCTGACCTTCACTATCCAGAATGATGTATGCGTAGAAATGTGATACCAGGAGGCTGTTTTCACATCAGTCTGCTGAAGAGGAAATGTTGCTCTGTGCTCACCTTAAATCTGAGTTTAAAACGTGTGTAAATGGCTGATTTGTGATATCACAACTCATTGACACAAATTATTATTCAAATCTGAATATTTTTATATGTCTTTAAACGTGCAGATGGAGGGGAAAATTGTGTTCAACAACACCACATTGAAAATCAAGTGACTGTTGAAAGTCTCATTTGTGAACATACATCTCATTTAACACAGTCAAAATTTGTATATAGAGTGCAATTCAGACAAAGTCAATTTAAAATTCTGGATTTCTAAAGAAATACTCTCTTGGGACTGATTACTTTGGATGCAAAAAAAGAGAATTTTTTTATATGTATGCGAGGATGATGGGGCTTATTTATGATATTGATTGTCTGTACACAACTACAAATACATGGAGTTCCTTGTGAGTCAAACAAAAGAGCCTGTATTATAACAAGGAATTATATAACTCTATTTCAATAAAAAAAAAAACACTTCATATTCATCTTTGCAAACACACACACAGATAGGACACTCCCCTCCCCCAACATGCACACACACACACACACACACACACGCACACACACACGCACACACACGTGTACACACATGCACACACTCCCTCTGGCTCCCATGCACACCATATGGGCTGATCACACAGCTCAGGGTATTAACAGTAATTTGCCTGCATGGGAGCAGAGTTTTTTTCAGTGTTCTTAACCAAGCGCTCCCAATGTTGACACTTCCATAGCTAATGATCATACCATAAAACCATGATGGACTCCTGTGGGCTAAAGTCCATGTGCAGCCTCTGACTTCACAGGACTTTAGCCCAATGATCACCTCATTTGAAGAAATCACAGCTTTGTCTTTTTTAGACGTTATGTAATAAAAATAATAGGTTTTTGTTTTTTTAAATTGAGACATCAGAGAATAATCACTAATACCAACTGTAGATTGGCAGTGGTTTATTTAATGGACAAAAATTCTAGCACTGAAATCAAGTTTTTTTTTATCAGCATGTTTAGCCCAAAGTCTCAAATGTACAAACGGAAACTTTATTGCAACTTCACTTATCCCCTACCAATGGTTTATATCTGCTGTCACAAAGTATATTACACCCCAGCCTCTAAAAAATTTATTATTACAAGTTATATTTTTCCAGTCCCCTAATAAATTCACACTGCATGTTGACAATTAACTCACCATCCAATACTAGAGGTAGGCCCAACCTAAAAAAACAGGTTTAATATGATGAAGGAACCACAACTATGTGTAATGTGACTCGGGTCAGGGCTATGGAGCATTTTAGCCTCCTTTATCTCTTTATTTTGGTTTTCCAGCCCAAGATTCATGGTTCAGTCTTATACCTATCTCTTCAACCAAGTTTCTAGCAGAAACTCACAGATGTTTTCAGCAACTAAGCGGAATTTTAGGCAGGTACAGTCAGTAACCTACCTGAGAAGAATATTGAGCATCTAGCAACCCAGGTAAAACTTGGCTAGAGTTAGTGAAGACTAACACAGGCGGCCAGAGACATGATACCAAGTGAATGCTAATTGTACAAGTGACAAAATTAAGAAACAGCACTGTTGCTGCATTCATGCAATGTCGGCAGAATGGGAGGAACAGAGAAAACACCCCTTATTACACAGGATTTCAAGGTGGTTAGCCACAGTGCTAATCTTGTAGTCAGATAATTAGCCTAAATTAGCTACTTTTGTTGTGCTATGTGCTTGTAGCAGTTCGTTACAGACTGGAACCACATACAGTAGCTCCCATAAAATTAGCTTAAAAAATTAGCGGTGGTGCATTTGCCGCCATTGTGCCAGCAGTTTGTTACGTATGTAGTATGTACTATGTACTTCTTTTCACCGTCGGTGTCATCCTGATATCTCCGAGTCAGAGGCTAGCACGAATAGCATGAGTAGTTTTTCCGGTTGCCAGTGGAGCGGTTGCCAGGAAACCAATGGAGAGTCTGTGAAGTAGGTGGTTGTACTCAATAAATTTTCTAGCACTTAACCCCAGCAAATTTAAATTTTTATATTTACATTTTTTTAAGGATTTAACAAACCAAATATAACATGTTAACTACTAAGCTTTAGAGGTAGACTACTGATCGACAGAATTTGTTTCCATCGGACAAACCAGGCTGTGTCCAGTCTTTGTGCTAAGTTAAGCTAACTGGCTAGGCTGCTAGCTGTAGCTTCATATAAAACGGACAGATGTGAGATTGGTATTGATCTTCTAATCTAACTCTGTCAGCAGGCAAATAAGCTTATTTTCCAAAATGTCAAACTACTTCTTTATAATAAGTTATTTAAATCATTTGATTACTTTTTTCTTTAGACCCAAAGACTTAGCACCTAAACCTCAAGCTTTCTAGCTTAGTTGCTTTCAAGACGCTCATATTTTGACATTTTGACTGACATGGCTTCTTCCCCTTGTTCTTCTTTTTACCTACAGATTGCTGCGGTAGCTGGCTAGCCAGGTAAGAAGACACAAAATGTAAAGGCGTATTCCTCATTTTCTGGCAAAGGCTAACTACCTTTCAATGCTACCATTTCCTGTGGCAAGCCAACTTGACCAGGACTGCTCTCCAATGACAAAATTGATCCAAACTCAAAAGTAAGTAAGTCGGCAAACCACTCAACCTCCCATATAGTAACTGTAATGGTCTCTGATAGTTTTTGCTCAGAAACTTATCACATTACAGTGAGGCTTTATAATGGCACGGGTCAATAGTCTGTTTGTCTGTGAGTTTTACACCACTTTAGAACTTGTCATTCGGCGTGTGTTATCAGGTGAGGAAATATCAATATCAGGTTGCACTTGAATGGAATAAAGTTAAAATTTGACTACTTAAAAGTTGCCCTAGTGACTTGGTTTTAGACACTCTTTATAAGTGTTACAAGTGTGTTGCCTTTTCTTTACCAACTTCGAATCACAGTCTGACCTCAGACCAGTTTGTCTAAAATTAGATGGAAAGTTTCTTCATAATCATATAATCTTGTTTCTTTGTCATGACATGCACGCACACATTATACTGCAACCTCATTACACTCATAAAATGAACAAACAACTCAGGTTTGCCAGGAAGTGGGCTAGTCTACTTATATAATAAACACATGGACTTTACTCAGAGATCTTGAGCTATTGCTATGTTATAAAGATGTTGTAGCACGTCACAAAACTCAAATAAGACAAAGAATGGAGACAGCTATTTATTAAATGTACAGAGTGATTTGAAAGCCTTTTCTCCATGGAAATATAGAACTTGGGTTCAAAAGCCCAGTTAATAATAACAAAACAATATCATCAATAGCTACCAAATTGTTCAGCCCAGAAAGTCATACCTTAATTTTCTTTTAAAGAAGGCCAAGAAAGTGCAGCTTATGTATTTCTGATGACAACTCTGGCTCATTATTGTTAAGTTCACTTAATAGAATTCCAAAGACCAAACATTACGAGAACTAGTTTTTAAAATCAAACACTCTGGGCAACTGCTTATAAATCCTGAGACAATTAGTTTCCAGTCTATTTAAAACTAAAAGTACTTTGTATACTTAATCTGACATTGATCAACTAAGGATTAAGTCCTGACCTAAAACCAAAAATTTAAAAGAACAAAGTAGTCAAATTGACATTTTATGTCTTCCTCTCGGCCCATTACATCATCATCTAGAATATATATTACTTTATTGGGCCTGTCAGACAATAGGAGCTTTTCATAGTCCAGTTAACAGGGTCAGAGGTGAATCTGTTAGATCTTAGGATGGTAAATGTTTAGCTTACAATCCTTAACCATGTAAATCCTTGTTTGGCAAGAACGGGTCTCAGATCTTCCCAGTGTACTTCAGTGCACCAAAGACACCACCACCTGAAAAAAGACAGATGTTTTTCAGTGTTCAGTGTCTTACACAGGAGTATGAAGAAGTTAAAGCATGGGCTGTTAAGTTATTCACCTCAGACAGAACTTTAGTTTTCCAAGCTAGAGCCCTTCCACCCTTGTTCACTAGTTTCCATTTGTACCAGTTGTGATGTGTGTTGCATTTTGAATTTGTAAGTTTGTGTAAGTTTCCTTGCATTGCTACCACCATGCTACATGCTATCAGATTGCATGCGTTTGCTTGAACCTTGACAGCAACTATCATTGTTCATATGGAAGCCTGTTACCACAAGGAAAAGAAAGAAACTGATCAAAATTAAGTCTGAGTTTTGATGTACTGTGTCAAAGTTTAACATTATATGATGTCAATTTTTTTTGACTGAGTATCTTTTAATCTTAGTACCTTCTTTTCTTTTCTTGGTGAGAACAGGCTTCAGGTGATTGTAAACATTTTAATATTTTGTACACCCTTGCTCTACAACTACTCCTGCTACAACCCCAGTTACTGTGCACCTCTTGACAGGTTGATTTGATTAGAGAAATTTTCATTGATTCAGATGCTCAAGAACAACAAGGAGAGCCAGTGCCCTGAAAACATTTCTTGTCCTACTGGTGCCCAATATCATCAATATCATCCTCACTGTATCCTTGTTAATGGATAACAGGATAATATGTTATTGAGGAAGCAGAAATTAGGTGTTACATAGTGTCTGTGCTTGTGTATTTTACTCACCAAGTGCAGCCACCCCAGCTAAAGAGCCAATGGTAATACCAGCTATAGCACCCGACGAAAGCCCCTGTGAACCTCCTCCCGTGTTGTCAGTGGTATCAGTTTGTGAAGTTGGGGTTGCGGTGTGCTGGCCAGTTGTGGCAGTGGAGGTTGAAGCACCAGTTGTGGCAGCGGTGGTTGAAGCACCAGTTGTGGCAGCGGTGGTTGAAGCACCAGGTGTGGCAGTGGAGGTTGAAGCACCAGGTGTGGCAGTGGTGGTTGAAGCACCAGGTGTGGCAGTGGTGGTTGAAGCACCAGGTGTGGCAGTGGTGGCAGTGGAGGTTGAAGCACCAGTTGTGGCAATGGTGTTGGCAGTGGTGGGTATAGCAGTTGTAGAAATGGTAGGTGAAGGTGTGGTAGTAGGGGAGACTGTTGTTGTTTGCGCTCTACACAAAGCTACTGTGTCAACAAAAGTAAAAAGACAGAAAAGGGTTGAAGAAGAATCATTAAAATGCTCCACATAAATATTTTCTTTGAACTTTTAAAATATTGAAATCTACATTCTACAAGGTGGCAGCTAAACACAGGTAGTGACTCTCATCTCAAGTTTTATTTTGTAAAAACCTTTCCCCTAATTTTAGGTACTGCTTCAGGTCATCCATAAAGTCTTTAAGTAAATCATAATCAACAGTGTCCATGGACATTTAGTGATCAAGTGAAAAGATGGTCTTAATTGTAGGTGTAAGAACTACATTCTGTGTATTAATAATGGGGCATGTCAACGATAATAAACCTAATCTTAACCTAACCTAATCTGCAACATTGGACAGCAAGTTGAAAAGTAATACATTTATTCTCATGATAAACAAAAGTAAGATGGTCTCCTGTGATAGTACAGACCTGCCATCAAACGTGCTGTGTATCATATAATTTTTTTTATTACATTCCTCCAGTTATTTATTATATTCCTCCACTATAAAATCCTGTGCTGACACCAGGAAATGGATTTTCTGGTGCCAAATGAAATTAATAATCATGCGCCATCAAATGAAAGGTTATCTAAGTATAACTGTTTGCGTGTGTAACAGGTAAAGTTGAGATTAGGGTTTGGTATTGCTTAAGCCAGTAGTCATGGGTAGGGTTTCAAATTGATGAACATTTCATACACAAACAGGAAGTTAATTCCTTATCATAACATTGGCTTTAAAACTGAGTTAAAGATTAAATGTTCCCTGTTCCATAAACCTCCACACATAAATTTCCCATTTCCTACTCTCAGTCTATTGCAGAGAGCATACTTTCACTTTAGGATCCACTGTTAGAAGCTCCCACTGAAAAAGGTACGATTTTCTATAAAGGCAGCAAGAAGGTAATGGTTAATGGTTTAGTAAAGCTTTGTTCATCAGTTATAAGCATTCACGTTTGGGTCAGGTTGTGAAAAATATCTATGACTGGTTTCTCGACCGTTTCACCACTTAGCTTCTACAAATATAAACCAAACCCTATTAAGACATACAATCCTTTATTAACAATATGGTAACCTGTGTTCTAAAAAAAAAAATTAGAAACCCATGAACATTTATTAACAGACTGCCAACATTTAAAACTGCATCCTTTCCAAACAGAAAACAGAAAGCCAACCTGGCAACAAATCTGTTCTTGATAATTAATAAACTGTTAATTAAGCCATTAGTTACAGCTTTGTTAAGGGAACCTTGGTAGAAAGTGGTACCAGGATTTTTTTTTTTTAAGTATAGTAAACATGGATATAATTGTTACCTGCACCAAGAAGGCAAAGAGTCAGTACAGTGAGATTCATTTTCATTGTCCCAGAGTTACGTGTCAGTGCCACAAAAACGGAATGAATCAGTGTTTGAAAGTTGCTCTTTAAGTCGTGAGCTGAGCTGAAAAACAAAAGCACAAACAAACAGACAGACAGAGTTAATTTCTGTGCAAGCGCACATGTAATATTTTTCTTGTTCTTTTCTGCCACATTCAACCTTATCTAACTTTCCTCAGTCACAAACAGGAAATGTATTCTTAGTCTGAACACCACATCCATTATACCCACTTCTGCGTCGCCACATGTGAAAACTTAGCAGCTTGTAAGATCCACCTAAATTCACTCTGTCCACCTTTTTCTAGTTGATGAGCAGAGGTTACAACCCCATTTTTGTCTGACCCAGATTTATCAAAAGAATTAATGCTATTTTGAAAATAAATGCAAATATATTGCTGTTCCTGAAAAATAAAAGAAACCACACACATAACTGATCTTACTTTTGGACCCCACTCTATGTGTGTAAATAATAAAAGATAAATATATGATAATTAAAATGAAGTATATAAAGTTCAAGCTAACTCTGAAAACTGATACACAAATACTTTGTATGCAAAGTTTTATGTAGAACCAGGTCCATCACTCACCTGAGAGGCTGTCAATGATGACTTTCTTCTTTTCCTGAAAGACAGATGGATATTCTGACACCTGCTTTTATTACACTGTTATCACACCTCATCATCTATAGCCCTCCCATCTGCACGTATGTGTCCTGTGACGCATTACCTCAGTTCAGTCAGGAAGACAATGCACGTATTGATTTAATACGTTTATTAATGCTTAAGACAAGGCTATATTTGGTTTTTATGGCTCAATTACTGCTGCGCATTCAGTAGACATTGGTTGGTACATTTCCTCTCTCTTTAGTGCAGAAACATAAGTGGAGATGAGAGTGTGGGAGGACAAACCACTAGTAGTAGCTTGATGTATCTTCGATAAGATGAGGTAGTTGAGGCAAACATTAAATCTCAAACTAGATCTTGTGAGAAAAATAAATAAATGACATGGCGGGTGGATGGTTGGGTCAGCCAAGCATGTAACTTTGACAAGGAAGAAAGATGTTCACATATTGTTTCCTGTATCAACAGTCATCTATGGTTTCTTTTAACAATGACGACAAACTTGCCCTAACCTTAACCAAGTCGTTTTGTGCCTAAACCAAATCAAACCCCAACCACAGACATCAGAAAACAGTCCACCACCAGGGTCGGCTGCCAAATCCAGACATGGATTTGCCAAAGTCTCCTTATAAATAAGAAAGTAACGCTGACAATAACTTGCTTAAATTTGTGACAGAATTGTACTTAGTATTCCACATGCAAGGTCTTAAGTTATAGAAAAACTTACTGAAATACTTACCTCAGTTTGCTCTGCTTGGTGAGCTGTCCAGCAGTTCGTAGCTGAAAACACACTGTTACCATGGCACAGCAGCATGTCATTTACATGGATACAGTGTGGAATACACATAGCTGCCAATTTTGCCCCAGGACCAACCTGCATCAACAATAACAAGAAAACAATCCCCTGCAGCCCAGAAAATATTGTCTCCATCGATGGGCAATGTAAAAGAAAAACTGTTGACTTGAATGTGTAAAGTGTATAAACTTGTTTTGAACCAGGGCTTTAAAACTCCAGGAGATTACTGGTCCCATACGAGAAATAGTCTCTACAGGCACAAAACCTTCATAAAATGGTGAATTGTCATTTTTCTTCTTGTAGCATGTCGGCAGATTGTTTGGCGAAATCTTCTTTCACTGACGGAATCGCCCCCAGTATATCGCCGTTTGAAGGCCCGCAGGCGTTATTTTTTTTCTTCATTAGGTCGTGCACATTTTGATCTTTAGCTGATGCAAACCTCAGTTTCTAACTTAAGTTAGCCTAAGTGTTTATTTTTTTGTACTTTGGTAAGTCTCGCTTTGATGGTACTTTGGATGTTTTCTTGCCTTGCCAACAAGATTACTTTCAAGAGTATTAAATTTCAGTGACTGCACATTTAAATTCAAATAGTATCTGCTACAGATGACTGGACGTGGTTTGCTCATTTTTCAAAACAAAGTTACAAAGTGCTGTACAAACAAAATAACAAAACAATGCAATAAAAGATGCAGAGAAGAGGTAAAATAATTTATTTATTGACTGGGTGAACAGTTCTAAGACTAACCTGTACTGTCTTTCTTTTAATAGATAACCAAATTATCTGTTATAAATACACAAGACAACAAATTACAGGCTTAGCTTATGGCATCTAAAATGGCTTTGGTGTCTGGCCTAATGTAGTTCAGGTACAGTCCAATTAATACGGGATTTTCTGATTTTGTGAATCTATTGGTTTTGGAATATTTTAATATCAGTGTGAATCGGTGATGACCTTGGACAACACCGGACATCCTGAGATCAGAAAAGATTGAAAGAGAGTCGTTGTTGCAGTTTGTGTACTCACCACACCTTCAAAACCTACAACAGTTGTGAGGTGACTCCCCTGAAAAGAGAAACTGAACTTCAAATTGGTAATAAAACTTTGCAGTAGCCCTGTGTGGTACTATCTTTCTTTACTTTTTTTTCAAAATAATATTTGATCTCTCTCTCTTCTTTCTCAGAGACTAGAAAGCAAACAGATACAAGACTGCACTACACACTGTTCTTCATTTCAGTCACAGCGGAGTGGCAGCTGAGTTGGTCACTGCTAGAACAAAAAGAACACTTACATCTTTGATGAACTAAGGTCATACCTTTACAATTTTAATCAGCCAAAGCTTTTAAGAAAGTCAGGCTGAGAAGTGATCTGGCATTAGGACACATTCAATCTATAAAAATGCAGTTGCCTCAAGCACTGCTTTACATTTTAGAAGGAAATGAAACCTATGCTCTTAAGATGGTCATAATGGCAATAAAGAAACACAACTAATGTTCAGGTAGTAAATTCCACCAACGTGGAAGTTGGCACTGGTCTAGTTAATTACAGCTTATCTGAGGTACTGGTCCTCATATAAAAACTGATATCTGTGAGTCATGAAGATATCTAGAGCTTCAAACTGATTCTGGTGAGAAACTTTAGACTATAATTATAGACTTAATCAATGAATAGACTTATGAATCAATGAATAACTTATAGAGCCTATTGCCTGCCATATGTTTTTTTTTTCTTTTAAAATAAGGGACGTGTGTTGGTCTGGCACTTTGTTCTGAAGTTCTTCTGTCCCTGAGTAGCAAAAGAAGATTATTACACCTTCAAAAGGTGTCCATCAAAATGAAGCTTTAATGAAGCTGTTTAGATAGTATGAATTTTTCTAAATAAATTTGAAATTAATGGAATCACCATAAAGTAACTGTTGCATTGCAAACCTGAGGCAGGTAATATTCCAGTTGATTTCTGCAGCTCTATAAGGCAATATATAATTAAGCCACTGTGTGATGTTGGCTTTGCACTTGATGAATTGTACATGCGCAATGCACAGAGAGTGGGAGAAGAGGGTCGACAGGGGCCCACAGCTCCATAGCTAGTTAATCTATCAGTGACATAGTAAGGCTTTAGACAGGTAATACATACAAGGGCAGAGGTGTAGACAGTAATGCTTCTTTTTTCATGTAGTGGAGAAAGCTAAAAACAACTTTACATCATGTTGATTCTGTCAAACTTAATGTTAATGCTTACTGTAGATCTTATGTGATTGACTTAGCTATGGCATATAAATTTCTTCATGAGCTGTATATCAGAGAATATAGTGACAAATGTTATCACAATAGTAAACAATTTATTTTCTGTCTATCAACTAATCAATTTAGCTGTACTTGTATATATGGTTAGGTCTAATCAGCAACATATTTTCAAAAGTCATATTTTTTAAAGTATAGTATAGCTGTTATATAAATGTTGTGTTGTATAAAGTACAACATTTTCCTCTAAAATGTAGTGGAGGAAGTATGAAGTGTTATAAAATGAAAATACTGAAGGTAAAAGTATCTCAAATATGTACTTAATTACAGTACTTACTTTCCTCCACCGTTATACAGAGACACTATGAAAAAAGCTATACCTGTAAAACTAATTATTGTTTTTTTTTTAATTGACTATTATATTTTTATATTCAGAATCTGGTTCGTCGTAATATAAAACATAATTTAGGATAACATGCACAAACAATTCGTTTTTAATTTGTCCACCTTTGGGTAAATTATGAGTAACGTTTGACTTTCAAAATAAAAGCATTAAATCGATATTTCTTATTTTCCCTGCTTTGCCGGGGCACCGGGTCAAGACTTTTATTCTGATAGTCAGTACAGGAAGTTCCGCGTGCTTTCTCGCCTTTAGCTCGACGGTTGTGCTGCTGCTGCTGAGCCTCAGCAGAGTGTATGTGTGTGCGTGCGTGTGTTTGGATGGTGGACTGTTCCCGGTGAAAAGCACCGAACCCTGGCCGCATGAAAATGCCTCAGCGCCGCGTGTAAACGGGAGAAAGTCGCGGAGGGGGGAGAGAGTCAGGTCTCCAGGCTGCTTTACAGGAAAATACAGGCAGGATGTTGCAAGTTTTAGCTTGTGGCGCCGTAGTTTTCCCCGGTCTGTTCTTCGCCTTCAGGAGGATCCTGCCGTGTGTGTTCAAACACTGGAGCGATGCCGACGTGGTGCTGGTCAGCGAGAGGTAAACTGGCTTAATTCATCACTTATATAACATTAACTTAACGAACTAACAGCTAATACTGAGCTCCTCTGTAGCATTGGAGCTAGTTTAGTGGCATTAAGCTAGTGACAGTAGCGCTCATTCTGTTAGCTTGTTAATTTATTGGTTTTTTAATGTATTACGGTGGCTATTATTGATTTTAAATGACCAGTGTTTTGATTTTCTCCAGTTGATAGCTTATTACTTTAATTTTCTTTTCATTTTCGCTGTGCTTTTGGTATAAAATAGGCACAGCTATCCCCAAATAACCTTTACAAGGTATAGTTGCAAATGTTCCAGCAAAACTATGGGTGCCTGTAAGATTATATGAATGCAATAGTGATGCCATTGAAGACTAAAAAAAAAAAAGATGCCATTGAAGACTAAAAAAAAAAAAACCCAAGCATGAGTGCACACCGAGTCCTGATAAACATGTTACAAGGAGTGCAGTTTTAATTTTGTCTGTGTCTGTATGTGAAATTTATTTTGTCATAAAATGTGACTGAATGCTCAAAAGTTCATGCATGTTTTCATGATTCACATCCTGTAAGTAGTCTGGGACTCAATCTGACATCTTGATAACCTTGCATCCACCAGGGGCCTCTTCACTGCTCCACATAGGAAGTGACATTTTTGTCAAGGGTGAACAAACTTGGGGCTTCATGCAGGTCTTATTATAAACTGGTCAACAAATGCAGAAGATCTGTGTCAATTAAATAACTAAAACTCAATTTATATGCAGTTTCGACAGTAACTTTATATCGCAATGGGTATTGAACTGCAAAGTAGTAATAATTAATTTACTGTGTGTGTGCGTGTGTGGGTCAGTGTGACTTGCTCACATGTGCACAGCTCAGTTCAATGCTCATTTGTACGCTGTCACTCTTGCTAATCCTCCTCTGAGCTCTGGTCCGAGCCGACTGCTGAGTTAGCTATGCACTGGAAAACACTGAACCCTACTCCTGAACAACGCTTTGACTAATTTACTAATGCTCATCTAATGGAAAATGTTGTTCTTACTGGCGTCTCTGCCTCAGGGGATGTCACACTGCTTGTTCTCCACCACTAAACCTGCCTCTAACATCTACTGTAACTACTCTGCCACATAGATCCCCAAGCTTGGACCATGCTAGTGTGCAGCTTCACAAGGTTTCATATTCATAAAACCAAAAAAAAAAGAAGAAGAAGCCAGTCTAATTGTTGAAATTTCCTGTATATTATCTCGTCATTGTATGATATTTTCTCACAAAAATCATCAATTAATATATATGTTTCATCTGGCCTCTATAAATAAATGGAACCAATGATTGTCTGATGATAATGATCAGTTTTGCATGCTCTTCTGCCTCCAGTTAAATAAATAATGATCGATAACATACAATGCATGTCAAACAGCCAATTTACCAACTGTACGTTAGCTGTGAGATGGATATCAACAGACACACTGACTGTGTCTGTGCATTTGTGTTAAGCTCAGCCTCTGACGGATCTCTAAACTCAACTGAGAGAACTGGAGTTCCTGCTATTTCCATCCAGTCTCTCTCACCTTTCCTCGTCTCTCCACACATTTATGTAGCAGATTCATAAAGCTCCAGGATAAACACAGATTATTCACTCAACTCACAGGGATGTGCTGCTACGTGCAAATTCACCTATAAAATTTGCTTTATTATCTGTCTGAATACACAGTTTGACCATGAGAAGTTCCCACCACAACTACAGTGTTTTCACTTGCTTTGTAATGTA